GTTCCAAACCCAGTATATTCCCTTATTAGGACACAACACCCTGCCCTGCCATCCTTCGCCACCGACCTGTCACAATATACATGTAAACTATTGCCTCTTGGTAACCGAGATATCATGCTTCCATACAAACACCATAACTGTCCAGGTTCATGATGAATCTTTTTCACCTTGAGGGGTACAATTTCGACGTCTATTTTCTGTACTTTCCTGGGAGCAGACCTATTACACTGTCGAGAGGGTTTGCAGCAGTCGAGTACGTCGTATTCCCTGAGGTCATGAGCTATATCGCTTCTCTATATAGTATTGTTTAACCCTTCTCAAGTTTAAGTATGTTTATTGAGACAAGAAAAAATACATTCCAAAGGGACAGAGTAGCTTAACTCTTGTCCCTACTACTGTAAATAACTTGTGTTCTTTGTACACACATTATGTTTAATACAATTTTAATTGTAATTATATCGTATTAGCCGGGAAAAAAAAGATAGGAAAATTTGAAGGCACCCCAGAGGAACTTTCTGAGCGGGTTAGGACTGTCATCCTGTTTTGTAACTCGTAGATTTATGCTGCCATGCATCTTGTGCTGCATCATCGTTAGTTTGCCTCTCTTGTTGATTTCCCGCACCCTGTGACAGCTGGATTTATCACGCACCCTTAACTCATCCTGTGAGTAGTTGTTTATTGTGCACCCCCCTTACTCATCCTGAGTGGTTCTCTACTGTGTTCCCTATCCTCATCCTGGGAGTGTTACGTCATTATGCACCCCATATTCAAGTATGGTCTACCATCCTCTACTTTGATTCCCTCAAGGGACGCACAAATCCAGTGAGTGGAAATCCAGAAATCACAGTACAAGAATCACATTTTACATGACAGGTTAATATAGTAAACACAACATATAAGTGTTACACCCGTCACTATGTGATGGAGTGCGAAGATACGTGAATTCAGAGACTATTCTATAACCAATGTTCCAACGATGTGTCAATATTTCATTCAAAATGATCTGCTATCAGAAATTTTAGCCAAATATCCCCAGTTTGCTAATTGTAGGTAGTAAGTGATTGTAACCTTGTAACGGGGGGTGGGGGAAATAGCTCTATCTTGTCCATTATTCCACCCCCAGTTAACTAACGAGGCCGGGGGAAACAGCTCTCTCTAGTCCGTTATCCCGTCCCCAGTTAGCTAACTATTCTAGAGCACTCCCAGAGTTCCTAAGGCAGCCTCTCTCGTTCAACACCTTGTAACCTAGGTATTCGACTACCTAGGTGCTAAGACTACAAGGCGCCGTCACTTGATCAGCTACCCGAAACTCTAGAGAGAACTCTAGAATACAGAATCATTGCCACAAACGTAAAAGAGAAAACGAAAGGAAAGAATGAATAGTGAAGTAATTAGTGAGGGTTTGGGGTGAGAGGGAGAGAGGTGGGAGGGGCGAGGAGGGTCATTAGTTGAAAGTGAGAGTTTAGAGAGGGGTGGAGGGAGAGGAATAGATAGGTAGTAGTAGAAGAGTAGATAGTAGAAGACGAAATGCTGCCACCATCCATTCATGATCATTACATACAAGACAAGGAATGGAACTTGCCTGTATCACAAAATTCACCAAAGATGTTATCATGAGTTCATTATTAGTAGTTCCCATCTTTATCATGTACTCATTCTAAACCATGAAACCAGTAACTACAGAGGCTTTCTCACCTCAACTCAAAATCTCTAGGGAACAAAGTTAAACACAATTTAAATAATAAATTCATAATTATATTTCACATGAAGTATCATAATTTAGCAATTCAATTAAAATGTTCCAGTTTAATATGCAAAGTGAGTCATCATCCAAGAATTCGAGAACCCTACAACTTGACTGCCCCTGATCATCACACAACACTTGTAAAACACGACCAAGTCACCTTAATGTTCACTCACCGAGGACTGAGTCTAAGTTGAATAGAGAGGGGGGGGGGGTCTGTAGTTGACGGAGACTCCCGCCCTGCCGGCCGACAGCCTCCCGTCTGCTTTGCTCTCCTGACTGCCGTTCTGTCTGTTCTGTCTGTTAATGCTCTATGCTGGATAGCTCTCCGAGTTTATATTGGGGAACCTAGTAGCTAACTCCGCCCACAAGTAGATAGCCTCCGGCACTACCAAGCCACTCCTTAAACGTCGGCTTGTTTGAAGGCTACCAGACTACAATTAAGAGCTTAGCGGAAGCAAGGTGAAATTCTCATGATCTGACCTCAGGTCACTTGAGGTCATTAACGCTTTGAGGTGTGAGATCTCAGGCAGACAACTGGCGCCTCTCAGATCCTTGTCTGTGACTCATGTACTCTATATATATTTTAAATAACCTACCCAAACACTTTTACAGTGTTACATCCTATCCACCTCTGCCCACTGGATGGGGGGCGGTGTGCAGGACAAACATATCAATTGTGACACTAGCTCTCCACATATGTAAGTTGCTTAATTTAGAAACTGTACTTGTGGTCGATCTCGAACCCACTGATGATGTGACGACTTATACTGAATTTCGAAACTAGCTCATCAAGATTGTAACTTGCTTAGCTAAACGAATTGTGGGGCTCAGTCCCACAATGTCCCACGGTCCATTAAAATCTGAGACAGGTCAAATAACGGATAATGACAAGGAGATGAGTAGTATTTTTAACAAATATTTTATATCTTTATTTACTAAAGAAGAACTTAACAATATGCCTTCAGCCGAACAAGTCTATGTGGGTGGGGATGAGGACAGGTTGACTAGTTTAGCAGTTACCAGGGAGGTTACCAAACAAATCCCCAGGGCCAGATGAAGTGTTTGCCAGGGTGCTTAAAGAATGCAAAGAGGAGCTTTCCGAGCCACTGTCCACTTCCATCCCTAGCCACGAACTAATCACAATATACATGTAGAGTCTTTTCTGTAGGTAATTTTCTAATTATACAATCATATGTTCCCCTCAGCTCTATTTCAAACATACTTTTTGTCTTTTGCAAGGGAATAATTACTACATATACATTACAATCCTCCCATGGTGGTGTGAATTGTCTCTTGGGCACAGCAATACATTCTGTAATAACATCATACTTTAGAACATAAGGTACTCATATATGCTCTCTTCTTTATCATACTTTGTTCATTACTTCCCACCTTTTGAACCGAGAGGATTAATTCATTAACTCTCCCACCTCTCATTAATCTAATGGCAGAGGCTACATTTATGTCTGAAATTCTATCCCCAATACTCTGCATATTCAATTTCATCCTCATTATCTCAATCATAGCATTTCTTGGGCATCCTAAGATAATTCTCATGGCTTCATTTTGTACCTTCTCCAACTTGCCCATCCTACCTTTACCAAAACAAGAAATGATAGGTGCAACATAATCAATAAGGAATCTTACAGTACTCAAGTATATCATTCGTAGCACAGGGACTCCCACTCCCTTTCCACAGCATGCCAAGGCCTTCAGAGGTTGTAATCTCTTCCGACATTGACCCAACAGTCTGTTCATCTCAACTTCCAAACTCTCATGGGTATATCCAACATATATGCCTAAATATTTATATATATTAACTCTCTATATTTTTACCGTTTATTTTCAATATAATGGGCCTCCGACTTCTACATTCAAACTTAGTTTTGTCTTCATTAACCACCAGTCCCATATGGTGACACAGGTTTCCGAAATTATCCAACACCGTTTGAACCTTTGAAATATCTTTGCTTGAAACAAAATATCATCGGCATATATGATCGGAGTTACCCCATTTGAGTATCTCTTAGATGCTATCCTATTCATTAGTATATTAAATAGGGTGGGACTCAACACTCCTCCCTGAGGTGTGCCGAGTTCAAAAGATCTTACACCTGACATACAACCTTGATACCACACCTGAGCCTTTCTTTCGTGAAGATAATGGCACGTAGGGCATGAATAGCCGTAAGCTTTAACGTAAAGACCTGCTAGTTCATATAAGATAACCGCTTTGTTAGCTTAATCAAAGGCTCCTTGTAAATCAATTAAAAATCTATAGTAATTATTATCATTAGCTAGACATTTAATAATGCAGTCAGAGGTACTTTTGCATCTAAAGAACCCAAACAAATTACTAGACAGCTGATCACCTATCATATATAAGTCTATTTCAAATTATCCTCTCCATCCTTTTACAAAAACACGAGGTTAAGGACAGCAGCCCCGCTGGGATATTTGGCCAACTCCGTAGTCGTGGTGCATCGCTCCTTGTGCCGTTGTCATCCTTAAAAAGAGTAAGTAATGGCCACTGCTTTTCTCAAAAAGCGGAGGGTTTTCTGTGAGAAGAAAACGTAATTCTAAGAGTTGCGTCTAACCGTCTAAGCTGCGCGCGCACCGAGAGGGGTACTAAATGAGCGCCGCGGACCCGGCGACCTGAAGGAGACATCTCCCGTCACACAGGGTGCACTAGCACCTCCACAGATCTCCAGTATCAGCTCTTGATACTGGTAATGGCTTATAAGGGCTACCACTTACGGAATATTCATGCCCGTGCCACCTTTTAAGTGGCTTTTGGGGGTGAATGCCAATAATGCAACTCAGTTACTAATTATAGATGTAACTATTAATTGTAATTGAGTTATACACTTTCATTATAACGGCTATTCTCCAACATTATTTCAGGATAATAATTTATTATTATTCACTAATCTTTATTAGTCACATAATTATTATCCACTTAAACTATCTATTTTAGTCGCCATAATTAGCTATTATGCTTCGTCATAATTATTATTATAAATTAATTATTTATTATTATTTTAATTATTTATTATTATAAAAATAAACAAGTCCCCCACTCAATTTCTTTTTTTTATTATGCACCCCATACCCATCCCGTGGGCGGTGGTGTAAAGGATTACAGAGGCACATAATTCTGAGTTACTATGTGCTTTAATATACCTACAATTTTTCTCTCATCTTTTATTTTTTTCACGCTATGTAACTGTTATCATTTTTATAAATTTTGGAAGTATTTACGTACTTAAGTTTCTTAGATTAAGGACCAGCCGAAACGCTGTGCGTACTAGTGTTATTTTCAAAGGCCAGTGACGTCACGTGTGGTCATTCACAAACTGCATGTATCAAAAGGAACAATGAAGTGCCAAATTTATGTTCTGTTTTCTTTTGTTGGTAAGCGTGCATGGTATTAATTTAGTTTAAATGGTTACCCTTTTTTTTTAGTCACTGTAGAGCGTACTTATCAGTGACTACAAGGAAGTGAGGTTTAATAGGTCTTAATGCCCTACCTACCTATCAGTATGGGTCGGAGGAAGTGGGAATGGATAGTTTTTTAAGTTTAATTAATTTATTATGCACCCCATTACCATATTCTCTCGTTAAACGTCTCGATAATGTGTTTCTTGAGCAATTCATAAATGTTACCTTACATGTCAATTAATATTAAGTGGTTTACTTATTAAGACTATTACAAATTTAATTTAATTCATAGCCCAAAGGTTTTTTTTTTGTGCCCAAAAATGCTTTGTGTATTTACTAGTGGCTAAGTTACAACTATTATGTATTATTTATTTATTTAATTACACACAAGAAGGTACATTGGGTTGAGAGAGTACATGATCATGATCTATGTATTTTTTAAATAAAATTATTATTATTTTTATTAATATAATAATACTGTATTATTAAACTTGTAGATATCATTTAGCAAGCATTTTTTAGTACTTCTGTACATAAGTTGATAAGGCTAAGTTATTTTTGGCTAGGCTAAATAAAGCTTAGGTTAGGTAAATGACTTACCACAGCATAGGTTGGTAGAAATAGCCTAAGCTACTCTATCCCTTTGAGATGTATTTTCTTGTCACAATAAGCATACTTGAACTTTACCACAGCAGTCCCTGTGGCACACTGGTAACACACTTGCCCTATTCTTTGCGAGCGATTTGGCCTGGGTTCGTATTCTGGCCAGGGAGCATTGACTAAGTATCAATTCTTAACTGTGCACCTCTGTTCACCCAGCAGTGAATTGGTATCTGGTTGTTAATTATTATTTTATTTATTTATTTATACAGTATATACAAGAGTTCTTACATTCTTGTAAAGCCACTAGCATGCATAGCATGTCAGGCAAGTCCTTAATCCTAATTTTCCCTGGAATATGACCTGCCAAATTGTTAAACCAGGTACGCATTCACTTTTGGGTGAATAGCGGCTATAGTTAAGGATTGGCTGCCAGTAAATTCTCCCCGGCCAGGATACGAACCCAGGCCAAAGCACTTGCAAAGTGCCAGGCGAGTGTTTTACCACTGCGCTATGGGGACTGCTAATGCAGTGCTTAATGTGACGTTGATTGAAGAGCATCTGGATTTCCTCATTTGGGTCCTATATGTTGACCCAAGAGTTGCTTCCTGGCAACTGCACCTACAGTACAGGTTTTTCCCTTTATTGCAGCTACTTACTGTGCCTCACTTTAAACTACTTGACGGCTTGTATTTCATGGAAAATTAAGATTAAGAACCTGCCCGAAACATTATGCACACTATTGGCTTTATAAGGATGTTTGAACTCTTGTATATATAAGTAAAAAAAATATATATACTATATATTTTTGGTATGGTCAGATTGGTCTAAGACATTTTGACAAAACCTCTTTTCAAATTGTAAAAATGATGTATATATATATATACAGTACTGTGTTTCAAAGTTTCAATGAGATCTGCCCTGTCATGTCTGGTTTGCAGTGTTGTTAACTCTATGGCCCTCAATTGTTCCTGGTATGAGAATTGACTTGGTTCTGGAATGGTTTTTGTTGCCCAGTGTTGAACTTTCTACAGTGCAGCAATGTCTTTCTGAAGACGAGGCCTCCATGCTTGGATTTCTGACCTAATCTACTCTCAACTTCAGTACAGATTTCACTTTTGTCAACTATAGAACACTGGTATTCAAACTGATTAATCATTTCTAATGCTTTTCCATTTCCACAATTTAAAATACAGTACTTTATTTTAATACTATTTTTAGCAGATTTAATGATGCATATAATAATTAAAAAGTATCCTTATTCTCTTATTTGACTACAGTATAATGATTTTTTTTTAGAAATTTAATTACAGCATTATCCTAATTTTACAGTTGGATCCCAGTAGTTCAGTCAGGTTGATTCTTGACTCGCAATCAGGAAATCCTGATTCTAATCCTGGGGGGGGGGGAGAGAAATGCTTGGTCATGTTTCCTATCACCTAATGCATCTGTTCACCTAGCAGTAAATAGGTACCCAGAAGTTAGTCAGCTTGTGGGGTTGCATCCTGGGGAAGGTCAGTAGTTCCACCTTTGGGGAAGGAGGGACCTTGACATAAGCTTAACATATTTATATGCACCAGCTGCCTGTTCCCTGACACAATGAATTATTATTAATGTATCTAAGAATGTTATGAGAGAAATAAGGTGGCAGTGAAAACATTTATTGTTGAAATTAAGCACTATACAATGGCTGCTCATCATCATTGCAATTATATGTATGTTATTACTGATATATTGTCATTGTTGTTACTTCTGTGGCATGGCACAGTAGATATGTGCATCATGTGGTAATTATTCTTGGGTTTGGCCAGTGACTGGTTGGGTGACTACGACACCCTTGTTTTTGGCTAGGGAAACCTTGATAAGCCTGACATGCTTCCTGTCACTGATGGGTTTTCCTAAACCTGCCATTTAATATTGTTTTCACTTCAAACTTTTTCCCAGGATAAATTAAAAAAAAAAAGATGTTCCATTAACTTTAATTTAATCATTAATACAGTACAGTATATATAAAAAGGGCATTCTGCTGGTCACACTATATAGTTCTGCAATTGTTATTTTTTCAGTCAGCAGTGTCGCCAGTAGTCTCAGTCACCCAAATGTTCTCCTAATCGTTGTAGATGATTTGCGTCCAATCTTAGGATGTTATGGGGATACTCTTGCTCTAACTCCAAACATTGATTCTCTTGCACGTCATGGAACAGTCTTTACACGAGCTTTTGCACAAGTAAGTTCGGTATTTTGATATTGTAGGCTTATCTTATCATTATTTGATTTTGGTAGTGCAATAAATTCTGTGCATATAGTATATAGAAGGCATTATAAATTATGAATAAGATAATACTTTCCCTTCGTCATACTATACTATATCTTACCTTAAGATATGTAACATTTAGGAACCCTAGGCTAGACTAGATTTTTGTTAGGAAGATTTGGAAAGTAAACTAAGGATTTGGGGCTGCTGCTGCTTGTAACATCTTCCAAAATTCAAGTAATTTACATTTGACCATTATATTTGTTGTTAAGCACACAACAAACTTCTGTTTTATCATATATAAAGGACTGTAAAGCAAAAGATATAACAACTACCAGGAATATCTAAAAACACCACTAGAATGATCAAGTAACTTGTTTTGCCATGTTAAATATTTGCAGAGTCCCAGTGCTAATAATGTTGGTGATCAGTGGGTACACTCAGTATGTGGTATGTGAAACAACACTTGTGCAGCTTTCATTGACATCCAAACTCGTTCAGTTATATAGAGACCTCGTCTTAGAACGACGAACTTCTTTTAAAGTTGCAGGAATGTTGCTGACATAGTCAAAGGATATTTGAGTAACATACATTAGCACTTTTAAATGGAGTCAATAGTAACTCTTGTGCCTCCCTTGAAGTTATAAACCACACAGTGGAGCACTCAACCCAGCACTTTTCAGTCTAATAATTTGATCTAATAATTGTCATGCCTACACAAGTTAGAGGAGCTAGGACATTTGTATGATTGCAAATAAAGTACTGTGCCTAAACTTGTCTGGAAGCTTGTACTTGATACTTTTGCTACTTCAAGCATTAAATGTGGTCATATCTCCATAGCAAAATCAGGAACCCAATTTCTACACAAAAGAATTAATGATTCTAGAGTTCTCAGTAAGTAACATAAACATTAAAGCCTGTGGACAACAAATATCTCGAGATTAGGTACCAACAGTAACATTGTAAATGATCTTAATAGTAGATACAAAGCAGATTGGAATCCCTGAAAACACATCACTGGTGGGAATATTGATATCAATGTTAGATGTGCCAGACAGTTTTACATGTTTATTTCCTTTAGTTATTACACCCTGCACTTGATAAACTTCTCATCACTGAACAGGATAGGATTAATGCAAATTGAAGCTATTTAGGTGAGTCTTAGTGTTCCAAGATGCATTAAAATTATCCCAATATACTAGAGAGAATTCTACAAATCAACACAAACCTTTTTCATTACAGTCATACGACTCGATATCTCCACACCTCTCAGTTCAGAGGGCATTATGTTTGCACTAATGACTAAACTACTGGTTAAATTTTACACTTCTACAACTAGAGTAGCTATGCTACAATTACACCTAAAAAAAAATACAATTACAAGTACTAGTGGATGATTTGTATAGTTTTCCAATCATGGCATGACTTAGAGCTAGCCTTTCCTGGTGATTGCTTGGTCACAAGGAAAGGCTGGTGACCACATAGCCATCACAGCTAGACTAATCTGCTAACTCTGGTAGAAACTAGTAAAAGCTCATAAACGTTTCTACAGGAGGAGTAATTTTCCCGATTCATAATTTTCTCTTCAAGCACTTTGGAAACTTTACTTGCAAACTAAAACAGTAACAATCTCATAGCATCATTCCAAAATAACCTACTTACTGCACAAAATGCAGGGTTGAAGATATCTTTTGTAGGGATGAATTCTCATACAGACATAACTCATTATGATGACAGTGGGAAAGCGGTTGAATTAGCATGTAACAAACATATAATTGAGCTAGACCTTGGTAGCTAAATAATTGGGAGAGGGAGGGAGCGAACAAGAGCATCGAGTGAAATTTAATTTGGTTGATATCAGGCCTATGTGGATACTCAATAAGCTTAACAGGCATCTTGTCCCTGAGTAAAGACAACCAAAATATTTGGCTCTGATATTAAAATACTGAATACAAAATTTCATCTATATTTTCAATTTCAGCAAGCCCTGTGTGGTCCAAGTCGCACTTCCTTTCTAACGTCTCGGCGTCCAGACACCACCAAGTTGTATGACGTCCATTTTTACTGGCGGAAGCATGCTGGTAACTTTACAACATTACCACAATATTTCAAGCAACACGGCTACCACACAGTTTCTGCTGGCAAGATTTTTCACCCTGGTCTGTTTTTCTATTAATGGTATTGTAATTTATTCTGTGGGGTAAAGTTTATTCAGTACAGAATAATTATTTGTAATGGAGAATGTAAAAACGTAAAGGCAATTGCAAAAAGTTGTATTGGCCTATAAAATGCAGCTCCTATTTATATTACACAAAAACTCATTCAAACGTGTGTCTAAATAAGCCAGCGATCCCATGTCTATTGTTTCGCAGTAATTTGTTCCATGAATCACATATCCTGTTTCCAAACTATTAGCTACTCAGATCTTTCCTAAATCTAAACTTATCCAATTTGTATCTATGTATAAATTTAATTTGAGCTTGCAGGAGTATAGGAATGGGAGCATGAGTGAAAAGATAATGTTTCTTGAGGTACTGTATAATGCAGATTGAACTATTTTCATGACTACAGTACACTTGATATGAATGTCAAGACCACACCAATGTAATTGTTAGGAACACCTGATATTATTGTCAGGGACACATCATTTGATTGTCTGGACTACACCTGATGGCATCTTTCCATCACGTGAACTTAACTGATACAAGTGATCTTACACTCTGAAAGTTACAGTTGCCAGCAAACTCTATACCAAAATGACACATCTCTTGCAGAAAACACTTTCAGTTTTTTTTAATAAGCTATCCATGGAAACCCTTCCCACCATACCAACTAAAACTTGAGCTGTCTGCTGGGATTGACTAGGATCTTATAATAGGAACTGTAATAGCATGGGAGCTTCAACAATTCTTCTTGACCAAACCACACACTTGAAAATGGAGAGACGATGACTTTCACAATCGACTTGATAGTGGTCCAGGACGGACCGAAATTTCGTCATCTCTTCATCTTCTAGTGTATGGTTTGGTCAACATTTCTTCAGGCACATTATTGGGACTCCTCAACTTCAATAATTCTTCCTTTGTAGCATTAACATTAACACCAATGAATCTCCCAGTATCATACTTTTTAGTCATTATCAGAATATATACAATTGCTTGCTGAAAAGTGCTACTTCTGAAATAAATTTATCATAAGCAGAATCTTGCCTGGTGTCGTGTTAAGCTGATCTATACAGTATAGGCTAAGGTTGTATACAGTGGCTTAATTTATATTATTTTTTTTAAGTAGCTGACTTTTTTTTAACAACAAAGGCTGACAATGTACTCTGTATCTATCCATCAGCAAGTTTCATTTCATCCTGCCTTACAACAACAAATAATACTGTTTACTCATTTACAGTACACTACTTATGTAATTGTATAATAAGAAGGCTTTGTGCATTAAACACTGATGGCTAGAGAAAGTGTGTGTGTGTGTATTTGAGTGAGAGCAAGTGCAAGAGCGAGTGAGAATGAGACAGAGATTTGTAACACAGGATCATCCTGTTTGAAAACCATACTGTCTCTATTATTATATCATTTCTCTCTAAGTGTGTTACCAGTTTGGTTTTAATGATTTTTTCCAGTGTTTTGAGTTAGAGAGGAAGAAAGTGAGAGTGTGATGAAGAATTCTTAGTTCCCATTTGTTGGGGACAAGAAACCTGTAAGTACTTGGGAATATCAGGGTCCCCCAAGGCCAACTACAGTGTACTGACTTTCCCCAGGATGCAACCCACAAATTGTCTTAATTCTTTGGTACCTATTTACTGCAAGGTGAATAGGGGCATCAGGTGATAGGAAAAATGCCGAACTGTTACTGTACAGTCCGAGGGATTGAACCCGGGTCTATCAGTTGTGAGCCGAGGATGTGCACCAGGTGACAGGGGAAGAAGAAAAGAAAGGATAAGACAAGTTGCACATAAGGCAAATGCAAAAAGTCTGAGAACTGGATAATCATATTTCAAGAGCAATGGATAGGTAACTTAAGTGTAGTGCATTAAAGAAAAGAATCAGTGTAAAATGTACAGTACAGTACTGTGTTTACTTTTCTTACAGTGGTGCTTCTTTCAGTGACTAAGTGCTTTAAACGATTGCGTATTTGTTTAAAATATTATTTACAAAGTTGTTATTTTGTAACAAACTTCACTGCATAAGGTAATATTGTTGTAAACAATGTATGAGCATGCAGATTTGATACGGTAATTTTGAATAGATTCACGATTTTCAGGCATAGTGAGCAACTACAGTGATGACCAACCATACAGCTGGTCTGAGCCTGCATATCACCCTCCAACTCAGGCCCACAAGCAGGACCCTGTGTGTCTAGGATCAGATGCAGCACTGCACACCAACATCTATTGTCCTGTACAGGTAAGCCCTTTCAGTTCTTAGTACAGTACTGTATCTAGTGTCTTTAACCCCTGCATTGTACACCTATTTTACAATACTACTCCCTGGTGTGCAAGAAAAACTAAATTTTAAAACAAATGTCTTTCTAATATTATTAAAATGCATTCCCTGATCACAGGAAAAAAGTTACTCGCTTTGGCTGTGGTGGAGAGTTCAACTCTTGTGGTGGTATCACCGATTCACAAGTGTTCATGGAGTAAATACTCTGTGGAGGTTGCCAGTGGGCTAAGCAAGGGTTTTGTTGGACCTGCTCACTTGATTGGCGGTAGGTGCATTTTGTGTGTCAGGCATTCTTGGGCAGTGCTTCTTTTGCTCCACTCAGGGACTACCTGTTTGCTTTGGCACTCCCCAAAGATATGGATGTGGGCAAGTGGCAATTCCAAGTGCAGATGCCTGTGCTGTCCGAGGCACTTTATTACAGATGTCCCCAATACCTGTAAATACTTGGTGGTCTTTCGCATGTTGAAACTAAGGCAACAAAGCTGCCGAAAAAATTTGAAAATTCACTTTCACAGAGTGGCAGATAGTTGCAACAAGTGAGGTGGTGGTGCAGGCCAAAACTGTCAGTAGTTTCAAAGAGTTACATGACAAAAAGTACTGGGAAGAAGAAGAGACAACAGGATTGTAGCTCTCATCCTATACATACACTTAAATCATCACTTGGGTAATGCCGATAAAACATCCCTGTATGTGATATGCAGTTAAAGGGTTGGTGCTACAAATAAGGTTCATTAATGAAAAACTTCACTTGCCAACTGTTTGAGTGGGAATTTGTAGAGGGATGGTCGCTATCCTTTTTTATTCAATTTGTTTAATTTCATGCAGTTTTATGCAAATATTTTCACCTAGCATGAGAAATGTCAAAATAACTGTAAATAATAACTTACTTTAATGTAAGGGTTCCCTCAGTAGCTTTCTAAGTTAATCTAGTTAAGCCATAGGGTGTTGCATCAAGCCTCTGAGAACCACTACTCTTTGCTTACTGAATCCAGGCCTAGAATCTGACTCCCTTTGATGCAAGAAAAGCTTGGGAATAGTGGATCAAACCAAAAATGAGAAAATATATCGCCAGAAAGAAAAGTACAACAAAACAAGCAGCTGCTTTAAGAAAATTAGGAACCGAAGGTAATGGCAAATTATCATTGTTGCTAGGTAAACACTATGATGTGCCCAACCTCCACTAGGTGGCAGCCCATGTAATGTGATGAGTTACTCCATTTTGGATTGATCTCTGACTCCCAAGCTTCCCTGGCCTCATAGAACTAGATTCTGATCTTTGCTCCTGGTAGGCCAATGTTGTTGTTGTTAAAGATTTGCTACCTGGAACAAAAAGTTCCAAGTAACACGGGCTATGGTGAGCCCGTAGATAGTTGGTAGGCCAAGGTGTATTTCCGAGGCCAAATGAATCTCCCTAATGCCTGGCTGGTCCAAAGCTTAGCTACTGAGGGCCCCACTAGAAAAAGGGTGCTGTATTATATTCTTAACTTGATTTTTGAGACCTACATAAAAGAATGTGTTTAATGAAGACAGCAAAAAAGTAAGTGTACCTAGAGGTTCCATGATTGTCCATGTTAAATGTCTTCATGACCAGGCCTTCTGGTTGATGGTCTGGTTAACTAAGCTGTTAGATGCTACTGCTCAGTCTTGCGTATAGAGGGAGAGTGCTGAAAAGTCTTGGGCTTTAATGTTGATAAGACTTGTCTCTTAGCATACCCATTGCACCTATATTGTTGAATATCTGTGCATTAGAAAATATTATTTTCCAGGTAGAACAACAACCAGGCAGAACTCTACCAGACATAGAAACAACAGAGTTTGCAACTGCCTGGCTCCAACGATGGGCAGCAAAAGGGATGACTGAAACAAAGACAGCTGTTAAACAGCCATTTTTTTTAGCTGTTGGTTATCATAAGCCACACATTCCTCTAAAATTTCCTTGGCAATTTTTAGGTGAGTTGTAAATGCAAGGCTTCTGCTATTTTGGTTTCATAGGAAATTTAGTGAAGTTAATTTTCAATTAGTCGGACATTCTACCCCAAGCACTAATCTGAGAAGGCAAACAACCTGCTCCCCTCTGATTGAAAGATATTATGAATTGTCAGGGATATAGGAGTTCCCCCATCCCCTTTGCAAGCTCTAAATTACCTAAATCATCATGTGGATAATTTCCCCAGTGGCACCACAATCAATGACATCATCAGCCAATGGTAGGGCTGGACGAAGGCGACGCCATGCGAACTGGGTCGTAACGGGGCAGTTGGTACCTGCCTGACCTAGGTGTAGACGAGCCAAAACTGGACAGTCCTGACTAGAGCTGTAGGTTAAAGTTTGGACTAACGTATTTGCTTCTTGCAGCCCAAGCATATGTTACAGTTCTCTCTGCTACATAGTCATCTCAGCTTAGTGCCTGTTTTTTATAATTACTCACAGTTCTCTCATGTCCAGCAGTGAGCTGCAGGTCTACTGTTAAAGATATATATATTGTCTTGAAATTACTCTTATGAGTGCACTTCAGTTATTTATCTTCATTTAGTTTGAGTTCTAAATTTCATGACTATAAATTCCCTGAGTTTTCATGGTCTTTCCATACCTATGTCTTGTATGGTGCCCTTGATACTCTCTAGGCAAAGTATTCCCAAGGTCTGAGGATAGGTATAGATATAAGTAACAATGTCAGGATCACAGCCTTCAGCTGTGATCTGAAAACATCTGGTGAAAAGCAGCTCTAGCATAACCCTAGTTTGCCAAATATCAGGTTCAGGAAACAGCAGTCAACAGAAACAATTTTACATTAACAAACTGTTCAACTGTTCAAAATGTTTAACTGCTCATCAGGTCTACTGAAATTGTCCCAACACTACACATTTAAACATTGACTCAACCACTGCAGAAGCAGGAGAGAGCCGACATTTCATTCAGCCCAACAAGTCCAGCAAACCTCCCATCTCACACCATTCTTCCCCGCAAACTGAGCGCAAAAGAGCTCCTGGCACTCCAAGAACTTGATGGCAATGGCAAACCATGAGCACATCTTTAAGTTGGCAGCAATGAGATGCTCTGATAAAGGATGAACTTGGACATGCAGTTGATGCAAGATCATGCCTCGAGACATCTCGGGCACTGGTTGGAAAAGTTTTACCTGATTCTCTGCCAAAAGAAGACAATGTGGAAAACTTTCTTCCACCGGAAGATTAACAAAACCACTTGCCATTTCTCCTAGGAAAACAAAGTTGTTCAAAAATCCAGAAGAAGCAAGGACCTGATATTGCAGCCAAGAAGTGGTAGAACCAAATTAAAATAAAGCCAGACTCAATTCAGACTCATGGTCCCCATTTCAAAGAAAAAAATGCCAGGTTTTACCCAGCCCGACCAGAAAGGCAGGCAAGACAGTGGTAATTTAAAAAGAATTGGAAAACAATAATAATGCATTGTCGGGGGACAAACAGCCAGTGTATACTGTATATACATCTTAGGGTTATATTGCATTTCCACCCTAAGGTTGAACTATTGACTCGCCAAGGATGCAATCCCACAAGCTGACAAACTCCCGGGTACCAATTAACTGTTAGATAAACAGGAGCATTAGGTGATAGGAAATGCCTCCAACCATTTCTGTCCTGCCAGAGATTCAGACATAGAATTCCTGAAAAGTGGACAAGCCATAAACTAAAGTGGGTACATTATACCTCTCAGTACAATAAAACCATCCAGCTTGGTGACCAAAGACCATGAAAATTTAAGAGGTGATAAATGTTTAGTAAGATGGGGTATCGTGTTGTGGTACAGATGTTGCCATCTGGTAGCAGGAGCACACGGCAACTGGTCAAACAACTAGCAATTTACTTGGACTCTCCTTGGCAAACTCATGGTTGTCAAGACGGGCTTGTATAGGCCTTGAATGTGTGTGAATTGTTAGGTTTTATTGCTTGCTTTAGTTGCCTCAAAAAAAACCTCAATGATCAAATCATATATCACAATTAAGAAACTTCAGAAAAATGAAGCTAACTCTTGCAACTTTTATTAATTCATTTATTTTTCCCTTCCTGAGTTTTTCAAACTTTTTGCTATTTATACCTTTTCCTAGTCTTTCTTTTTTCCTTACTTACCTTACCTTTACTTTTCCCGATTGACTTATTCTTACCTTTTATTTCTCTTGCATGCTTCTCACCTTGCATCTCACTTTCTTGCCATATTTACTTGCCTCTTCCTTACCTCTCATTCTATTACCCGACTTAATAATGGTCCAGGACAGACTAAAAGTTGTCATTTCTTCATTTTCTAATGTGTGGTTTGATTATCATATCTTCAGCCACATTATTGTAACTCACTGGACCCTGGGGTCCATTTATTTTGAGTTTTCCTCAAATTTGTCCATTTATTTTGAGTTTTTGAGTTGAGTTGGTGCTGATGCTGATGCCTGGAATGTCACTACTTCATGGCAAGAGTTCCTTCTCGATAACAGTGAAATCTTACTTTAAGGGGCAACAAAGTTGAGTAGCTAAGAATTCCATTCATTCCTCATATACATAATTTGTGATAAATGGGATTTCTTCAATTTTTATTTATTAAGGTTTTGTTCAATTTTTCTCCAGATATATACCCAATTAAGAGTGTGCCTCTTGCCCCTAATGATCGTCGACCCCAAGGTCTACCCAATGTTGCCTGGAACCCCTGGAATGACCTTCGGTATCGTGACGATATTGCTGCATTAAATGTCTCCTTTCCCTTTGGGCCCCTACCGGACTACTATGCAAGGTTAATATTGCATTTTTTTCTGATTTAGAGGTATATAAAAAGCAATTTGGCTATTCCAAATAAAGGAAATATTTATTTAAAATCACAATTACTATATTGTATATACAACATAATTTATTGATAATGTAAATATGTTAATATATTGACAAAATTGCCCACTTCCTGTGCCCTTCAGTGGCACAGGAAGTGGGTGACAATCTCCCACCCTACCAGAAAAAGCCTCCAGAAAGTCAGCAAAGCTTAACGGACAACTGGAGGGGTCACAGAAAACGAAGACTCAAAACTGCCAAACAATTCGCACAAAACAAGGGGGGTTCACTCAAACTAGCTCAAAACTTGTCAGTACCAATTACTGCCATGAGGCAGCCTAGTCAAAGCCCTCATTTGGCTCCCCCCAATATGAAGCTGATGAGCAACCCATTGCAAACTGATGAACCAGGAGGGAAGGAGGGGAAGTCAGAGAGCCACATGGGCTCCTGCAGAAAAAGAGGCATTTCACTACCCCTGTCGATGTCTGTCCCTGCCTCCTCCAGCTCTGCTCTGCTTGCATCATCATCACCATCTGGTGCTGAATTGTCCTAGGTTGACTGATTAGTTGGTCAAGCAATTGTGAGGAGCCTGAACTTGGCCTGCATGGTATTATCCCTGAGCACTATACTGGTTCCTCCAGTTCTGCCTATTTCACCACTGCCAGGACCATAGAGTTCAAGCCCCACCCCACCTTTCCTGGGCTCTTGCGTCACTGGTTTCCTCTTCAGGTTTTTAGGGTGGTTCATTTCCATGGCGCCTTCCTTTTCCGTCGCTTGATGTGTCCATGGCTGCCGCAGCTGTGGGATGGGACTTCGTGTCCCACCCAGGATTTGGTGGTCAAGGCCATTCCTTTTTGTGTACAGCCCATTCCTGGAATATGTGGCCCCAGCAGGAAGTCCATATCTTGTCAAACACAAACCTATGTTAGAAAAGTTCAGAGGTATGCCACTAGACTAGTTCCTGAGTAGAAAGGTATGAGCTATAAGAAAAGAGAAAATTCTCTCTAATTCTCTTTTCTATGGGAAAAGACTACTTGAATTAAATGTCACTACACTGGAAGACAGAAGAGCTAGGGGAGACATGATTACTATCTACAAAATTCTCAGCAGAATTGACAGGATAAAGATAAGATATTTAACACAGGTGGAAACTTGGTACCCAAATGGGCCACAGAGATCTTAGGAAGAATTTTTTCAATGTCAGAGTAGTTAACAAATGGAATGAATTATGAAGTGATGTGGAGGTAGACTCTATACACAATTTCAAATGTAGATATTATAGAACCCAATAGACTTTAGAACCTGTACACTAGTTGACTGATAATTGAGAGGCAGGACCAAAGAGTGGAAGCTCAACCCCTGCAAGCACAACTAAGTGAGTATAACTAGGTGAGTACAGCAGGTTCTGCGGAGGATTCAACTTCCTATGGGCTCTGTTCTTGGGTTCCATTCTGTCAGAGTTGGGGGGTGGGAGGGAGGGTCAATTTGGTACTACTGTAAGAGCTTGCTAATCCAGATCCTGTTACCTTTGGGTGATCTTAACAAAATCGAGTCCATGTTTTGTCTGCCAAAGTCTGAGAGAAATCAGGATTACTGAGAGTTTCGGCCAGATTACCAAATGATTTCGAGAGACTTGTGCTCAGCAGATAAGCCCTGGAAGCTGGCAGTCAAAACTGACTTTGCAAATCTACCCTAACCATGCAAGTTTTTGTTTACTTTGTGTGCAAATACAAATCATGTTTGTTGTGATATAGTGTTTACCATTAATTTCTTAGAATGTGGAGTAGCTACCACATTAGCAATAATGTGATTGCTTCACAACTCAAACAACTCTTGTACTGCTTAGTTTTCAAAGCCATTCGTCAATCGTTGAAGTAATGATTCAAGCTAATTGATTCAAGCATATTACTCGGCATGTGCCAGTGTCAGTTTATCTTGTCTAAATATTCTTGACTTACATTCGCAAGACACAGGTACTTTAGCAGAGTGGTCTGCAGCTTTGACTTGCAACTGAGGGACCTGGGTTCAGTCCTTGGCAGAGCAGAAGTGGTTTGATCTTGTTTCTTTCACCTGATGTCTTTGTTCACATAGTAGTAATATAGGTACCCAAGAGTTAGGCAATTGTTGTGGGTTGCATCATAGGTAAGGTCAGTACGGTATTTTGCCTAGAGGGGACTTCATTAAGCCCACATATAAGCTTCCTGTTCCTGACAATGGGAATTATCTTAAGGTATGATGATCGTATGACAGTTGTAGCCGACTCATTACTGTAAGTTATATTAAGAAAAAACATTGTCTAGGGAATTAAATTAACTTTTGTTTGTGAGGATGTCTAAACCTTTCAGTAGTTTAGTGTGTATTCTTAAGGAAATTTCATAATTTTTTAATGGGTTTGATTTAATTAAAATTTCAGATACATTAGACAGGGATATTATGCTGCCACAACTTACACCGATGCTTTGATTGGTGATCTTCTATCAGCCACTAACACACTGTTTCCGGACACAGTCGTTGCTCTTGTTGGAGATCATGGTATTTATTAATGCTCTTGTTAAATAGTCATACATTTGGTAATTTTCTAAATTTATATTTTTATTAGTATAACTAATCTATACTGTACTTAAGTCTTTTATAATTATATTGCACATACCTATATGTAGGATCCCGTAGCACAGTGGTATACATCCTCGGCTCACAACCAGTGAGGTTATTAGTGGTTATAGCAATCACTGTAGTAATGAAATTAAGGTAGCTAAAATTACATCCACATCAATATAATTACTGTAGCTAAAAGTACATCGACACCATTAATCAGTTCATACCATTTGTTTACTAACTTTGCATCAATATTGATGACTTGGGAGAACAATTCATATTACAATACATAACTGGCTTGAATCTATTTGGTGTTGCTGCTGCAAAGTGATTGAGATAGTGGCTTTAATGCAAATTCTTAACGCATGCAAAAATTAATTGGAAATGTTAAACTCAAGTTCAATTTACTGTATTCTAATTTAAGTAGTACTGTACATTATTTTCATTTCAAGAATTCTCCAAGCAAATGCACTTTACAGCAGCATCACATTTTTATCCAAATTTTATTATATTTAAAAATATATTTTCTGTATTTAATTAGTTTATTTTTACAGGATGGTCACTTGGTGAGCATCAGGAGTGGTCGAAGTTTAGCAATTTTGAAGTTGCAACAAGAGTTCCATTTATTATAAGCAAACTGAGTCTTCAAACTGTTCACCTATTCCGTGGCTATAATGCTTCCCTCACAGAGTTAAACAAACTAAAATTGTCATCTATGAAGGAAGAGTCATTTTTTCCTTCAGGCAAAAGGTTACTTGATCTTAGGATCAGGGAGAAATTTAAATTTATAACTCATAAAATAAATATTTCAGAGAAGAATTTGAAAAGATTGCACATTAATGACAAATTCAGGTCTTATAATGGTCTGGTCGAGTTGGTTGATTTGTTTCCTACTCTGGTTGACATGACTGGCCTGCCTGTTCTCTCACCTTGTCCAGAGAAGTCGGGGAATGTTGAGGTGTGCACAGAGGGATCTAGCTTGGCTCCTATTGTGAACATGTTGACAAATTGTAAATCCTCTAATGTGCTTATGAAAAGTCAATGCACCTCAACTAACATACAGGTAAAAAAGGCAGCATTCAGTCAATATCCTCGACCAGGACCTGAACCAACCCTTCACCCAGATAGCGATCAACCTCCAATGCACGATACAACCATTATGGGCTATTCCATGAGGACAAATAGATACCGCTACACTGCCTGGCTGAAGTTCAATAATGTAACATTTAAGCCAGACTGGAGTAACATCATCGCAGAGGAACTTTACGACCATAAAGTGGATGATGAGGAGAACCACAATGTCTGTAGGAAAAGAGTATATCAATCTAAAAAGGAGCAATTACAAAGAAAGCTGAGAAATGGTTGGAAACGGCCAATTTTTTTAACATAAATATTACATGCTGTATAATATTTAATTATCACAAGGCACCAAGCCTGGAAGATTTTAGCACCATTTATGGTGCAGAAGTATAATACTTAGGCTTTTTGTATTTATACAAGAGACGAATATGGTACAATATGTATGTTGCAGTGATGTATAATGTGTTTCTGCAAGTTGTTAAATATGTTTAATATCCATTATCAAGGGGATATTGTAAATACTGTACTATAATTACTATATTTGTTTATAAAATATTAAAAGTAAAATTTTACATTTTCAAAGATTTTTACCTGCCCATTTTTAAACATTAAAATATGCATTCATTTGTTTTTACCCTTTCTGGAGGTGTCCTGGTGGCTCCCTGAAGCTATCTTTTAGTACCATCTTTATTTTTTAAAAGCTCTTTTATTACCATCCAAAGGTTCATGGTAGCTGGCCTACTGGGAGCCAGAGCCAGAACCTGGACCTGTAGAATTTCTGTAGTAGCTCCCTAAAGTTAACCACAGAACAAAAATGGGACTTACCAGGAAGTAATTATCAAAAGAAGGCACCAAGCCATGGAGACAATGTAACACCAGTACTGCAGGATATTCAAAAGGCCCTAAATATCTGAGGATGTTGATACCAGAACAAAAGCACATAAGGCAAGTGATATCGAAGGTATAAGAGTTGCTAAGGATTCCATCGAAGGACAAATGACCACGAGGAACACTTGAGAAGCAAGACACACAAACGTCCTGAAAATAGGGACATTCTACAAGATGTATGACTAAGCGGGACAATGCGTTTTGGACAACAAGGAGCAGGGCAGTGTTCCAGTAAGTGCCCGTGAGTTGTGTGTGGCAAATACATAACCTAACCAGAGCCATTTTCCACCACCAATTATGGTGGTGGGAGGAAAGTGAAGTGAACAGGCTTACCATAAGTGTATACAGTCTGTTACCTGTGACACAAGACCAATGATCTTGCCAACAGTCTCAGATCAATGAATGACTGGGTAGAACTCTGAATATGGAATTCCTTTTTTGAAAATAAGACAAGTGTTGACAGCCTCCTTAGTGGCAGTGTCTGCATGCTCATTTATGGTAATACTAATATGGCTGGGAAACCAGTAAAACTCAACTGTCTTGAATCTGCTAGAGATGAGAAATAGCCAATATTGGATTTTGACTACCACAGGATGCATAGGATTAAATGACTATAGAGCCATGGAAGCACTGTGAGAGTCAACCACAGTGAAAGGAGCATTATATAAAAAATGGATGATGATCAAAGGGAACAGGGCCTACTGGAGGGATAACAGCCAAAGCGCAGCAAATGCAAGAATGAGGATGTTGCAGAGACCATGCGAGGTAGCGGTTTCAACGTGCAAGATCTGAATAGGGGATGAACAAGAGGCACCAGAGCTGAGGCACAACCCAGCATGGTGCAAAGCATCAAGACAAAGAAGAGTTAGAGGAGTGGGCAGGGCAGCCATAATCCAGTTTAGACAGCATGAAAGAGGAGTGCATCTATCAGCGTCCCAGGAAGTACAGGACAAGATGAAGTAATGTAAGGTTCTTAGAGCATTTGACTCTGATGTAAGAGACATGTGGTGACCAAGATGGACAAGAGCAGGAGAGGAGCTGGTGAAGATGTCAGGTCTGGAAACTATTGTGGAACAGAGGAAGGGAAGAAGGATGGAGGACAGTGTGATGCAATGCATGAGTATATGTTACAGAAAGCGTCAAGACAGAAGACCTGACTGAGGATGGGTATGTTCATCGTGACAAAGATAAATACTTGGGCCATGTAACACGGCCAAATAAATCCTGGAATAAAGCAGAAGTACCTATATTGTACCTGGATGAGGTTCTGGGAGTTGTTCTACTCTGCAAACTTGGTGAAAGCTTGGTCCAACAGACTGTTGCTTGAAGTGGCCCGCAGGCCCACATAGTCATTACAACCCAGTTGGTCTGGCACTTCTTGCAGAGTACCTTTGTGATGCCTGTATCCTTGGGAAGAAATATTAGTTGTAATTAGTGCATATAGGATTAGTGTAGAATGTCTTGGCATGTGAAATTCTTAGGTATAGGTTATGTGGAATTAACAGGCACATCTAATTGCCTGCACTGAAAAGTCTGAGAATTTGGAGCAACTATATTACTTTAATACAGTTGCTTCACTAATGATTTCTAATGGTGATGCTAATTTGCTTCAGTTCTTCATTTGATGGAACCAAATTCTCGAGGTTGAATAGTCAAAGTTAGCTCTCAGTTCAGCAACACAATCTAGACAATGAATTGGTTTAAATGTTCATACAACTCATCCTCCTTCCATACTATTCAAAGCTGCAGCCAATTTGAAAGATATAATCATCAATTCTAATATACATATTGTGCATTCAAAATTTGCATTTTTATCAAACAAATTTAATTATGTATTAGAAGTGTATATAGTAATATGCAGTTTGGTTCACTGGCAATTACTGGTATTTGTATTTATAGTGCATGGGTGAAGCATTAATGGAAATGCAATTTGAGCATATTAAGTGAGCAAAGCACTGTTTGAGAATGGTTTGAACATTATCAGTTTTGAGTCATGTGCAAAGTAATTTTTAAGAGTTTTTTGGTTGGATTTACTGGCCAATGTTTTGATGATGGGCTGTTTTGATATACCAACAAAGTAATTCACAGAATTTGTTTATAAACATGGACAGAAACTGTGTCAGACACCTCGATATAATCATGATAATAAAGAATATCAGGGCAAATATGAAAATTTATTATGAACCTTAATCAACGTATCAACCACCAAATTTGTTGACTTGCTCAATATCAAGGACAGTATACAGAAATGAAGTCACACTGTGAAATTCGGTTACCATTTGAGGTTATGATTTCACTGTGCACCAGGAGATGCCTGTAACATTCAATAAATTGTTAGATTATTGCTCCTGCCACCTCTGCAATGCCAAGCAGAAATAACTTGAGGTGGTCTTGGCCGAGCTTATAAGTACAAAGGTATTGTACGGGAGGGTGTGGCAATTGTTTGTATGCATGTATTTATATATATATCTGTATATATAATGAATCATCATCAGAAGCCCAACAAATGGTTTTATGCATTGTGCAATACATTCATACAACCTTGCTTGTCTTCAAACCCTGATGAACTAGTAGGATCATCAATGTCACTGTTTTTAGGAATTCAACAGGTATTTGACAATCTTGAAACCTAGGCAACTACAAGGTTGTATCACAAAAGTTGATTGCTGCAGCAACAACACTTTCACTAATCATCAGATGATCATGTTAGCCTTCATCTTCTGTTTTGCCAGACGTGAGCATCTTTATACTTGTTGCCAAGATAAAGTACTTCCTCTTGTTGCAGTTTATGCAACTGTGGACCATAGGACCATTGAATATCACAACCTTGGCATCTTCAAAAATTGTTCCTGAAGTCAGAGTATTTCACACGAGTCTGGCCATGTCACATATCAAGAATCATCTACTCTGTCTGTTGGCTGCTGGATAAGGAAACCATGTCGAAACCACACTGACATGCCAACTTAGGCCATCACAGACTTAAAGATGATACTGTAGTTACACACAAATGTTATTTTATTTATACAAAACAAGTAAGTTACAAGGTTGGCATATCCATTTCTGGACATCATTAATCATACAGTATCTGCAGAGAACTTTTAAACTAATTCACAGTTGCCACTGTCATGACAAGTGCTTCTGTTGACTTTGGTGTGTCATGATTGCATAGTCCAGTTCTTATTATGTCCAAGTACCATTTATATTTCAAACCTTTAAATTTCTTATTTCCATTTTGTTGAGCATTAGCAAACACACCACTCCTGACCCGTTACCCTGGCTTTCTTCAACATTATACTGTAATGCCTATCAGTGAAACTTTGGTCATTGTACATTAAGCTATACAACCTGCTCAATGTGCATCAAACAAGAAGATTGAAACTTTTGAGAGCAAGATTGAAACTTTTGTGCACATATTCATATGCTTTATTGCTATAAAAATTCAATGTACAGTATGTGCAAAAAGCACTCAGATTAGGTATATATTTGTTTCTACTCACTTTGCCAATGTAAACCTAGAAAATAAATCCAATGGCACACCATTTACTGTTTAGCACACCATGTTCAATGTGTTTTCAGTAATCAACTGTTCACCACGTAAAGATTCTATGACTTCAGTCATAGAATTCAATTTGTGACAGAGACGTTGCCTATGCCGCTGTGAAACTTTCAGCCTCTTTTTAAGACCTGCAAGTTCATCTAAGGCAATGTCCAGCTTTCGCTTTAACTTTCTTGGACTCTCCGTCATGGCATATGAATGAAAGTTCAAAGTAGCTTCTAGAGAGATTTTAACACTTGATGTACTCTCTGGCAGTTTGTAAGAAGATGGCCTCTCTTTTGGAGGCTTACGATGTTTGATGACCTGAAATGCAGTAAGAAAAAAAACAGAGTTGAATGTTATGAAATGGCTCTTTCTGGTAGAGCCTCGGCAGCTCTCTGAAGCCTTCTTGCCGAGATTGCTTTCCCCTACTGATCAGCCATACGAGTCCTGTGTTGTTTACCAGAGACCAGAGCCAGACACTAGCAACCCCCACCCCCCTTCACAGAGATATAGGGAGCTGGGGAATTGTTATAATCCCCCTCACAGAGTAAGCATCCAAAAAGGAAGATTAGTACAAACAACCGAGGTTCACATTAAACCAAGTACCAAAACAGACAAATAACTTTGCATTCATTCAATTCCAAATGACTTGCTCAAAATTAGGGCACTCTGGGAGCTACAGGCTCCTGCCCTAGCCATTTGTCTGTTGCTGACAAACCACAAACCAATGCTAAGGTTTGGCAATGGTAGGGCTAAGGCAAACCTAAGGCAATGGTAGGACTAAGGGAATTTGGGAGCCACAAAGGCATTTCATTACATTCAACACTGGTTTTGTGGTGGAGCCTCTGGTGGCTCCCTGAAACTATAACAGAGAAATGACAAAAAATGGGACTTGCAAGGGAGAAGTAGGGCTACTACATAAACTAAATGAATTGCTGAATGAAGTAATTGCTCATGGAATCTTTTGGCTATTTTAGTGCTTTGTTTAATGTAAACCTCACAGTTGTTTGTACTATATTGCCTTGCCTACTTTCTGGATGCTTTCTCAGTGAGAGTGATCATAATCTGCAGGTCCTGTGCCTCTGTGGGTGGGGGTTCAGGGGTTTGGCTGTAGTCCCAGGTAGGCCAGACAGGACTCCTGTGGCTGATGTGGTTTAGTAGGGCAAAGTCATCTCAGCAAGATGACTTCAGGGAGCCACCAAAGGCTCCTGCAAAAAGATTTAAAAGTACAGTATAAATAAAATTTCAACATAAACCAAACTATAAAACCAGCATTGAATATAATGAAATGCCAATTTCTGGGCTTCCCTGGTGGCTCCTCCTCAGCATAGCCTGGTGGCTATGCTGAGATGGTACCATCTACTAGGTCACAGCACCCGTAGAGTTCTATAGTTCTTCCCTGGTGGCTCCTCCTCAGCATAGCCTGGTGGCTATGCTGAGATGGTACCATCTACTAGGTCACAGCACCCGTAGAGTTCTATAGGCCTACCAGAGACCAGCACCAGAACCTAGCCCCCCCCCTTCCTCAAAGAGGCTCAGGAAGTGATGACATTTATTTTTACCACCTCACTCGGCAAGGCAACAAGAAGCCCAGTGAGTTGAAACAAACCCCTTGCTGGCTTAAAAAAATAAGACCAGTGCCTGAACCCCCTACCTAGAGAACTCACCCAATTATGTAACAAAATGACTGAAGTCTCTCGAAACCATCATGAGCTTGTTCGCCCCCCACCTTCCCCACTCGTTTGGGAGGACAGTACCTCACTGTCAGCTGGCATCCCAGCTCTAGTTCTAGAGCAGATGTGGACAATCAACTGATGACATGGAAGGAAGGGAGAGGATCAGGAAGTCACTGGGGCTCGTTCAGAAATTAATGTTCCATTACATTCATCATTGGTTTTCTGCGAGGGGTGCACCCTGAAGCTAACTATCCACAGCGAATGAAAACAAATGGTAACTCACCAGGAAGAAGGAACCACTGCAGGAATCAGGATGAAAATAAGATCCCTGGTTGAGACATGACCCAAAGCTACACAAGGTCACCGAGGCCTGGGAACATTTAACCAGGTACCAGGCTGCCAGAACCCTGTTAGCCCTCCAAAACCCCCACATACTGGTTCCTGTACTCTTCTACCTTGCCAACAAAATGGCAGGCAACGACATCAAGCTTTTTGTCCATACCATAAACAGGGTGCTCACTGCAAATGAGCTACCGACCATTGCTATACCCGAAGATATTCTTCCTGCTCCTGGGGTTCCGAACCCCAGTTCGTCAAACTCATACAAGACCACACTTCCCAGCATTTACTTAAGCCTCTGCTGATTTTGCAATAGATACAGCAACTAATCCTGCAGCAACCACACCTGCTTCTTCATGACTCCTACTCATCAATGTACTCTGATGCATTAGTAAACATCATTGGCTCATCTACCACATCCACCACACTGCCTGGGCCCAGGAAAATCCCATTCCTCCACTCCAAACTAACCTGGGAAGAGAGGATTCATAACTCCATCTGCTTCAGCAAAAAGTGGCAGAGGTAGTGCAATAAAGAGGGCAGGTATATTAACATGTTCATCCCATCTAAGCACATTGAGAGAGATGTGACTTTAAAACCTTGCACACACAACTCATATCAGATGACTGGTATGTCAGCCCAAGTATGAGAAAACAGAAGACCGATGAAAGGAGAAACAGGACGTTTTTAATGTTCTAACTGGTTTACTACAGCCATAAGACCGAGGACCAAACCAAGCTCTCAAGCAAAGAAGTGTGTGTATGTCAACCTCCCAAGATGAATTAGAGACCTCATACCAAAGCCAATAGGCAGCAGCAGACCTGAACTTTAATGAAACTGGGTCCATCAGGAAGCAAGGTCAAAATTACACAGGAGGAACTGAAAAAGGTCCATCTGTGCCACAGAAAGTGAGAGGCGAGATGAAGGAATCCTCCAGAAGTATGATGATTGGAACAGAATGGTACACAGGAATGCACAATGGGTGAAACAGCTATGTATTTGAGCTCATAGATTGTAAGAGGAGATAGGAAAAGTCATTTTCCTGGAGTCTAATGGAACCTAAGTTGAGGAGCAGTTTAACAGCATCCAAGTACCTTCCTGCTCTTCCCCCCAGCCCTGGAAGCCAGCCATGATGGCCCTGGGCAAAGCCATATTCCACACCCAATGCCTGTGACAGGAGCACATCCCAAGGAGAAGGATCAGAGCTAGGCATTTGTTTTGATGGTGAAGGTTTCATATTCCTAGTGGGAAGGGACAGCTTAACTGCCTTTGCCATCGAAGCAGATGAGGCTACCTCCTGGGTGTGGCCAAGCTACCTACAAATATAAACCTTGACATGACTCCGAAACCTTTATATCCTTCAGAGCCGGAATTAGGGTTGGGAAAATCAGACATTGGACAAACCACACCAGCAGTGGAAGAAAGGGAGGGGGGGGGGGGAGTGCAGACTTAATCCAGGTAGAATACACCAACCACTCCAGTCCTTGGTCCCTAAACACATCAGGGATGGGGGGGGGTCACCTCTGGGGCACCCAGTCCTGTAAACCACAAATGCATGAAAAATTAGCCCATAAAGCAGCAGCTGCCTGATAACCCTCCTCTCTTGAGAAAGGCTAGGCTAAAAAAAGACCCAACAAGCATAAACTTAAGACTTGGGGGGGAGTCAAAGGTATCACTGTCCCAACAGGCAGCATGGCAGATACAGAGAATGCCTGTTGGCATGTAGCAAGGCTGACAATTAACCTTGAAAATTGTTGCAAGTTTTGACTATGAAGTCAATTCATGATGACCCGCATTGTAGACCCACATGGGAGTTACCAGGACCTGAAGACAACTAACCAAGCAGAACCAAGGACACTACAAAAAAACAGACACCAAATGCAGTTTAGGGATAAAGTTGGCCATGAAGAATGTCCGTGGTGTGCCATATAAACAAACCTACATACACTAGTATGCCCCAAGCCACAACCAAACAAACCACTCCCAGTTGTTGGACCTCACAAAGGAGTCAACAACTTGTGTAGTATCCAAGGGGAGACTTTCCATCCCAGTGACCTGGCCTCTTAGGGCCGAGCTCCTTCACACACCATAGAATTAACAGTCAGTGGCAGGGGCAGTGCCAGACGAGTGCCTAGGGAAGGTTCACTGTAGACACATGCAGCTTGTAGCAAATAATAGAGTCCATGCTAGGAGTGTTGCAGAGAAACACATGCTCATGAAGCAAATACTAAACATTTGGAATGATTAACAAGCAAATAGTACCCCACAGGACAAAGTCCAAAGGGCAGCTGGCATTTAGCAGAGAAAGAATTGGGACCTGCTATGAAGAGCTAATCCAGGAAGCTCCACACAACAGTACATCAGCGACATGACAGCTAGGAGCCCACTGTTGGCCGGGAGTGCTAGGACACCACTTGGTGGCCATTTTGCATTGGAGGCTCAATCTAGTTTCGAATGAATCATTTGCCAAGTTGTTTAGATGTTTCAGTGCTTTATTTTCTGTGAACCTTTCAGTTGCCTGCATTGTTTCACTTAATTTCTAGCTCCTTTCCCGGTGTGGATGATCTTAACATTCCAGCTTTCTACATTTCTACTGAGACCAGATTCTGGTCCCCAGTAAGCCAAACAGAAACAGGATGGTTGATGTGACCCAGTAGCAGAAAGCCATTTAAGCGAGATATCTTTAGGAGGCCACCAAAGGGCTCCCCACAGAAAAAACAGTACCTTTATTAAATGGCTTGGAAATGCCTTGAAAATTGTAGGAGCTGCATTCATCCTAAGCCGAGTGATTTGACCTGTACGATCCAATTGAGAGTCTTCAAAATGGTCCGAGCAAACAACACTTTGTTTTGAAGGAGTATATTTTTCTCTTCTAAGATTTATTAGCCATCTCTTGAAAAGACTTCGGTTGTTCCATGGAAACCTATAAGATTTAAAAATATAATAGACATTAACTGAAAACTGGCAAATATTTGTAATATAAAGAAGTGATAATGTAATTGGAAATGCTGTAGTACTGGGAATAAAATAATAATAATGATGCTAATAATAATGGGGATTTAGATGAAACTTGGTGAAGTTGAAGACATACTGTATATAAGTGATTATCTCATGAATATTTTTTAGCAATATTGACCCATTTGTTCCAGATATGGCGGGGAGGGAGGGGGTGTCAAATTTCAGAATGACCCCAGGACCCAGTTTTCTAAACAAGTCTTAACCGAGTTTTGAAGCTACAGAAAAAATACACTATAATAAAGCAACTTAAAGCTAAAAAGCACAGTAAAGCCAAAATTATTACTGATGACAAATTTAAAGGAGTCTGATTTTTATTTGGATGCCAAAAAATAGTAGAATTTTCCCTGATGTATCAGATTTTCTAAGCATTGGAGAAGAGGATGGTAATAAAGTTCAAAAGCAAAAACTTACTACAGTACTAATAAATTTACGAGAAATTTATATAAAATTCAAAACTGAACAAAGTTTAGATACAGGAATTTCAATGTTTGCATCCTTGACACCAAAGTGGTATATCACTGCTGGAGGTCCTGGAACTCTTACAGTCTGTGTCTGCACTTATCACAATGCAAAACTCTTAGTTTCAGCAATTGGGTGTAAGAAATCAATTTGTATAAATTAGTGAGCATTGTTATAGTGGACTGCAAACTTACATAGTTTCCTCACCTTTACATCCTCGGAGATAATATTAAATCCTTTTAACATCCTAAAATGTGACTAGTATAAATCTTTGACCGGTACAGTAATTGTAAATTTGAATATTAATGCTATATCTATGTATAGAACTCTTAGATACAGTACACCATCAGACTTTGTGTATAATAGGATCTCTTAGTACAGCTGGCTTCATTTTCAACATACAATCGGAGATCCTGGGTAGATTTCCCAGTCGGACAAATGGTTGGCCATATTTCCTTTCACCTAATGCTTCTGTTCATCTAGCAGTGAATAAGTATTCTGGCATTAGACAACTTATGGAGTTTCATCCTAGGGAAGGTCAATAATTCGACTTTGGAGGGACCTCGATACAAATCCTAAAGTATATGTACACACATAAGCTTCCCGTCCCTGACAAAAATTATTATTTATTATATGCTCTGGAGTATTTCACAAATGCTCCAGAGTATTTTACAAAACAAAGGTAAAGGGAAGGGTAAAATCATGTCTTTCAACAAAGCTCCTTTTCTAATTTATAAACTATATAAATAATTAGGTCTATGTTTGCTTAGGCTTGACAGAATTAAATTGGAACGAGTTAGATTAGGATAGTTTTAAAATCTAGTAGTGAACTCATCTTGGGCGAGATGTGACGTTGATTACCGAGTATAGATCAAAAGGTAACCCTAAAAGGTCACCAGATAATACCATCTCACAGGCTAGTTGGTGCTACTAGGGGTTATGTGTAATCAACTAGCTTGCACTAACAAACTTTAGGTTGAGTACGAGAATAACTAATAAAATTCATGTGAATGGAAGGTACAAAGTTTTGTACCTCATGCCATTGGATCTAAAAATCAATGATAACTGACCATTGAAGTATTTGAACGCGTCTTCTAGGTTTTGTTCACAGTGAACATACTTACTGTACATGTTATACATAAAGAAAGATTTATGTTATGAGACCTTTGGTAATACTAACTTGTGATATGATTTATCCCTATCTCTATCTGGTCGATTATGACATCCATATGCAGCACAAACAGGCATCTTGAGGAAGGCCCTTGGAAAAGCAGACAGCTAACAACTTTGTTTTCATATAAAACTTAAGTAAATTGTTGTCGAAATTCAGTATAATATTTGAAAAAGGCAACAGGCACCACAATATCCCATCACCACCCAATGTTGTTGTTGTTGTCGTGGGGTTAGGGGCAGCTAGGACACAAGGTACCCTCTGGGCATCCAGGAGGCTACCCACACAGTGCCCCGGGGCCGGCTTGACCTGTTGGGTACTCGGATACTCGGTCACTTGAAGCTAGAGAAAGCCACGTCATGTGTTTCGGATCTTCCAAATACAAAAGGGGGGAAATGTAAAAACAATAAATAAAATGAACTAAAATCCCATCATGGTAAAATTCCTTGTGGAGTAAAATTTTTGAGAATGATTATTTATTTCTTATGGAGACCAAACTGTGAAAAACAATTCAATACTATCAGCTAGCATTCACCTAATTGTATTCACATTAAATTGTGTTTCCGGCAGTTGTTGAGCTTCGGTTCTTTGGTCCCGCCTCTCAACTGTCAATCAATTAGCATGGTGTTCCTGAGCTTATTTGACTATCATATCTACATTTGAAACTGTGTATGGAGTCTACCTTCCATTACATCACTTCCTAGTGCATTTTCCTCTTATATATGAGAAAACTGACTTTCTCATCATCGTTAATGGGTCATCAGCCAGTTCCTAGTTACGCATTACAATGACACTTCAAGTACAAAAAATCCTCAGGAATTAAGATTGGAATTACCTCTGACAAGCCACTGCCGTCCTGTCCCCGTCGAGGTCACTAGAGATTGAAAGTGAAATTGAAACTAAAATAAGTTTATTGAAGTATAAATACACACAAAGGGATGAGGTAGCTCAAGCTTTTTCCACCCCGTTCAGTACAACGTGTTCATATATATTTGTATTATTATATATATATATAATATAAAATTATTATTATATATATACACACATCACAAACAATCAACATATTACCGAACATTCTGGTTGATAAACATATACATTTCTTCCTTTACACATGCATGCTACATAGCCTTCCCGGCTTGGTCCCTTCTTTGATAATTACTTATTTTACACATACAGTATCATACTAAACGTACACACAAATACTTATATGATTAAGTGCATAGACATAAGTAACAATCCTGTAGAGAGTAGGGGCGGAGGAGTCATGAGTTTGACCTTGTGGGGCAGCCTAACATATATACATATGCAGGCTACCTGTCCCCCGACAAAACGAGTTACGAATTATACGCCTACATAGTTTGTTTAAATTCCTTTAATTAATTAATACAGTACTTAACATTTTTCCTAATTATTACCACCTTATTGAGTCCAAGCTCAGTTTTATATTTCCTTAATAGTATTTTACTGAAATTATGTTTTAGATTTGGAATATTCTGCACAATATTTATGTCAACTTTACCTGCCTGTAAAGCATATCGTCAGTGGTTAGTTTTCTGTCTCACTTCAATCAGTGTTCTGAATGCACTCACACATAGACCCGGAATTACAATTCTTATAAAGTATCTATGACAATCATCACTAATGATCGAAACTGTAGGTAATATATGGCAAACCTTGCCAACAACGTACTAAGAAATTACCACAATGTCTCACTAGTTAACTTAAATGTAAAATCTCTAACATTATGATGATGTCAAATCTTTAATCCAAGCGCTGAACAACAAATTCTCCTTAGTTATGTTAACTGAAACATGGTTAAAAAGGACACAACTCAACTCTTTAATTTACCCAACTACTCAACAATCCACAACTAAGAACCAGTACCACCACCTGGGAGGTGGTGGTACTGCAATTTACTGACACCAACAGTTATACTCAAATGTAATCACAACCAGAGACACCTGTGGCGAGTGTATCACAACCAGAGACACCTGTGGCGAGTGTATCACAACCAGACACACCTGTGGCGAGTGTATCACAACCAGACACACCTGTGGCGAGTGTATCACAACCAGACACACCTGTGGCGAGTGTATCACAACCAGACACACCTGTGGCGAGTGTATCTTTGCAATGTTCAAAATCATGGGTTTAGGGGCAAACTTAACAATGGGAGCTGTGTACAGAATTCCTAACACAGATGTAACTGATTTTAATTCTAACCTCAGAACTTTAATATTAAGCAACAAAACAAAAATCAATTAATACTTTCAGGTGATTTTAATACTGACCTCTGGCTGATAACCTTCAAGTAGCTAGTTTCCTTAAATGTATGAACTCCCGCTTGTTCATGCCCTTGATCATTAAACCTACCAGAATCACTGAAACAACATAGCCAAACAACTCTACTCTAGACCATATCTGAACAAAGATAACCTCTCCACTAACCACAGGAATAAACACTGATGGGACTACAGACTATTAACCCTCATTTATTCTAACCACTATTACTACACAATGAAGATTAGCGTTAGACTGCACAATAAACTTCCATAAGAAACATATAAAAGGAGACTGCACTCGATAATATAGCAAATACAATATACAAATATACCCATCCTGTGGGCGGTAGTGGAAAAGGTTACAGAGGCACATAATGGGCTCAGGGACTGAACTCCAAAATTCATTTAGCTAAGCAAGTTGCAGTCTTGATGAGCTAGTTACAAAATTGAATGTATATTATTACATACTGGGTTCGAGACTGACCACAAGTACAGTCTCTAAATTAAGCATCTGATATATATGTGGAGAACTAGTGTCACAATTGATATCCTGTGAACCGCCCCTTAACCAGTGGGTAGCGGTGGAAAGGTTACAATCACACAGATTTACTACCTACAGTTAGCAAACTGGGGATAGTTGGCTAAAGATTTCTGCTAGTATATCAATTTGAAGGAAATATTTACACATTTCTTGTACATTTGTTAGAGTTGTCTCTGAATTCACGTATTGTTACGAACCCGGACCCAGCGTCCGAGCCTGGAGCAGTGACAAACACGCCATCTGTGGGTCAGCTCCCGAAACCCCCGCCAAACGAACGACGACACCTAGTGAGGACAGCGTGTACTGGCCTCGAGGACCAGTTTCCAGTCTGGTTCAGCGCTCAACACCGCCGCTCCTGACCTCTGGTGAGGTGGTGCTCCGACGACAGCGCCATCTACGGACTGGATACGTCAGGTGTTTGCGCCCGCCACCGTAAGTGAGGAGTATTAGTGTCCCGGTTATTAATGACGTGTCTGCTTACAGAGCCGACCTGGGACCACTGTGTTGAAGGTGAAGTCAGTCTACCCGAGGCAGCCAGTCTCCATACTGTGAAGTTTGCTGCAGCTGTTGTGACGTCGTCCCCCCGGAAGAACACTGTGGTGTGTTAAGCCTGCCAGTGGAGTGGCAGTGTAAGGATTTACCCGGGACCGACGGTTGGAGACGATAATCCACTGGGGTATTGAGGACAGGAGGGTGATTGGTGATATCACACGAGACTCCTGTCTAGGGCATACCCCTTTTATCGTTCGTGGAGTGGCCGTACCAGCCTTGGTGGCTCAGTACCTGCCAGCAGACCTGCTGGACGTGTGGTTGACGGCCTCCACGACGTTGCCCCCAGTGGACCTGTGTTGTGGCTGACCTGTGGCCAGGGTAGGCTCGGCGTTCTCAGAGGACACGTCTTGAGGCCACGAAGAAAGCACCGCGGACTCAGCACCTAGCTTCAAGGATCCATAGTCTCCAGCAGAAGACTACAGTGTTGATCCCCTTGTAAAGTGTTAATACCCCTCCCCCTTGTGTACTCTTTTATTATATATATTTAAACGGTGAAGGTGAATATATTACATTAAGTTCTTACCTTTCTTTCCCTACTCCCTTTAAGTTACTTGCGTCACGGATCGCATCCCTTGATAGCCTCTACTGGCTTGGGGCCGGATATATATCTTCCTCTAACTACATCAGAGTAAGAACCCCGTTGCGTCCCGAGAGGGCCGTAACACGTATCAAAAGTATAAATAGCCCCATGACTTACTAAGGGCATACTTAAATCTATCTATAAGAAGCAAGAATATGAGGAAATATAGGATAGGGGTCATTTCCAAGGAGTTGTGTAAGAGGATCTCTTCAATCTTAAATAAGATAATAAGAAGATCCGAAACAAGCTTCAATGAATTTGTTTTAATCATATAAAGGTAACATGAACAAAATATGGAACACTATTTCTCAGATATTAGGATCAAAGAACTGAGCTGAACATAGTTCCATAGTTACACTATGGAACTTCTGGTTCCATGGTGTAACCAAAAGTCGCTCCCTACAATACTTGCAGGCACCAGTATATCTCTGTAAACAATGCTACTTTTCCCACACTGCCAATTAACATTAGCGTTCCACAGGGTCGTATACTTGGTCCACTCCTGTTTCTCATTTACATCAATGACCTACCAAATTCAGGTAAATTCAAATATCTCTCAACACCTGAAGCCTCTTCTATTTGCTGATGACACAACCTTCCTGTTCTCCAATCCTAACCCACTTATTCTAAATGACACTGTGAATATTTGATTAAAATAAGTACATCTGAAGATGACTGTTAACAAACTTGACCTTTAACATTGAAATAATGTATTACATATTATTTGAAAAAAAGTCCACAAATCTAACTAATTTAAATAAAATATGTTCAAGTAGGCCTACACCAGTGGTAGTGACTCTCGGGGCTGCTGGCAATGGCTGTCCTGTGCTGCCGGGCCCCCGAAGTGTGCAGTGATTTCCTGCAATGTTTTCCCTTTAGTCTCCGGCACCAGTAGGATGGTAAAGACAAGGGCCGCCAGACACATCCCGCCGAAGAGCCAGTACGCGCTGTAGTCTCCAAGAGCCGTCTGTGAGAAAGACATGGAAGGTTCATTACTAGCCGTACCTAATATGTTGCATTTGTTTACAGAATCGACGAATATCTGTGCTGTTCCCTTAATATCTGAACTCAAAAACCTTACTAATACCCTTTGTCCTCTTAATGTCAAACTCATCTTTGTAAATTTTGGTAAAATTTGAGATTTTTGTAAAATCTCTATGTATGTACCTTTACCTAAATAAAAAATTATTATTATTAATTATTAATTATTATTATCTTTAGACAAACTAACTCACTTAGCAGTAATCTGGTTCACATTGCTCCTCCTGCTTCCAATATTGCTGGTGTTTTTTCTGCTTTCTGTTTTCTTGTCATCTCTAATACTCTGGTGAAAGTGGCCTGCAGGGAGAGGAAGGTGAGGGTGACGATGAAGGAGCCTACCTGCAGGGGAGAAAGGTGAGGGTGACGATGAAGGAGCCTACCTGCATGGGGAGAAAGGTGAGGGTGACGATGAAGGAGCCTACCTGCAGGGGAGAAAGGTGAGGGTGACGATGAAGGAGCCTACCTGCAGGGGGAGAAATGTGAGGGTGACGATGAAGGAGCCTACCTGCAGGGGGAGAAAGGTGAGGGTGACGATGAAGGAGGCAGTCCAGTTCACCATCATCGCCAGACTGGCCGATGCATCCTTCACTTCCGGAGAGAACAATTCACCTAGAATACGGAAATGAGTTTCTTTTTATATAAACAAAAGTAAGTTGGAGTGCAGATAGACATAATATATTTATTTATATACAAGAAGGTACATTGGGGGGTTAAGATAGTATACATATTAATGATGATTTTACATTCTTGTAAAGCCACTAGCACGCAAAGCGTTTCGGGCAAGTCCTTAATCTAACATAATTTTAAGTAGATAATTTCCAGTAAAATTTTTAACCAAAACATTTTGTTTTTGTTTTTGAATAAGGCAAAGGTTTGACAGCTTTTCAATTCGTTAGGGAGTGAGTTCCATTGACTAGGTCCCTTTATTTGCATAGTGTTTACACAGATTAAGTTTGTCTCTGGGGATATCAAAGAGATATTTATGTCAGGTGTGGTGATTGTGTTCTATTGCATCTGTCCAGGAAGAGTTTCAGAACAGGGTTTGCACCTAAGAAAAGGGTTTTGTAAATGTAATTGGCACAAGAGAATGTGTGTGGAGTGACAGTGGAAGTGTTTCTCTTCGTTTACATGCTCACCAAATCTTTAATACTGTTACCTTTTACTCCCTCCATATGAGGACCCCGACGGTAGGACTGTTTATATGTATCAACCCATGAGAACCCAGGTAGTGGGACTGTTTACTGAACACTGACCCATGTGAAACCAGGTAGTGGGACTGTTTATTGAACACTGACCCATGAGACACCAGGTAGTGGGACTGTTTATTGAACACTGACCCATGAGAACCCAGCCAGTGGAACCATTACCGTATACTGACCCATGAGGACCCAGACGGTAGGGCCAAATCCGACGGAATATGCGGCGATGAAGACGACAAGGGCGACCAACGGTAACCAGCCCAGCACCTCCACAGTCCACACGGCATCAATCTCCTTCATGTAGCAGTAACCGCCCAAGCTCACTGTCAACAACAATGTTGATACGGGGTTAGTATGCAAGGTTTATTGTCTATCACAATGAAAAGTGTCAAGCAAAACACGTATATGGGGGCAAGTAATAAAATCAGTTGACTAATAGACCTTGTCACATCTCAAGTACGACTTGGCTACAAGTATCTCTGGGAGTTCGGCTTCTTCAGGGTTTGTACACCCGTTGCATTAATTGTGTAAGTTCTGGTAACTAATATAATTTATATTCCAATTATCATCACATTAAAATCACGGGTAAAAAATCACCGTGAGACTTACCCATACAGAGGAACATGAGTGAGACTGACCCATACAGAGGGACATGAGGAGTGAGACTGACCCATACAGAGGGACATGAGGAGTGAGACTGACCATACAGAGGAACATGAGGAGTGAGACTGACCCATACAGAGGGACATGAGGGCGGACGAGACAGCAAGAAGGAGCCTCCGGCCAGCCTGGTCCATCAGTAAAGCACCCACCACAGTTGCCAACACCTGGACCCCGGCGATGATGGCCACGCTCGCGTTCTCTGTCACACTGCTCCCAGAGTCCTGACCAGCACATTTTCATGAAGTAAGTTTCTTTGAAGGCGATATTAAGATAATTATCAGGAGAAAGCGCTTAGCCAATTTAACTATATTGCACTTAGAACGAGATTTGAGGGCACGGATTTAGTTCGTGACAGAGGGAGGAAAGGGTGGGTGCCCTGCCACCTGAACCATTTGGGATCGAACACCGACCCTGCAAGAAGCGAAGCTGTTACTGTACCGACTTATCCAAGTGGTTTAGGGCTTTGAGAGCAATACATATAAAATTAAGCAAGAATTTAGTTCAGTTTAAGAGATCGGAAATCACCATCATATGCATGGTAGCCTACGCCAAACTTTTTTAATTTTGTATATTGTACAATAACAGTGAAACAAATATGAATAATATTTATTAATTAAGTGTTTTAACATTATTTATCTTTAACATTAATGGGAAAACAACATTGCACTAAACATTTGTGGATGAGAGACTTGTACTTACTGGATAATTAGCCTTTGTTTACCTTAAAAACGATTGCCATGTTAAAGAGAAGAGGAGTGATTCCCGAGGACTGAGCGAAGAAGAGTATGGCAAGGCAGATGACAAGAGGCTTCAAGTTATGCGGCTTCGCCATCTCCCGAAGTGAAGCTTTCTTAAGCTTAGCTTCCGCCACGGCTCCCTTGATCATAGACAGCTCCTCCTGCACGTTATAGTGGCCACCTGTTGGGAGACAGCCCCTCCTCCAAATAGACAGTACGTTTTTATACTAAATGTAATAAGTACAATCCTGTCTATCACACATGTTGGGAGAACGATTATATTGGCTACACATGTTGGGAGAACCATTATATTGGCTACACATGTTGGGAGAACCATTATATTGGCTACACATGTTGGGAGAACCATAATATTGGCTACACATATCGGGAGAACGATTATATTGGCTACACATGTTGGGAGAACCATTATAATGATCTCTGGCATAGTTAGAAGCACAACAGAAGAGAACCATTGTGATGTCTGTTATCAGTCGCCCTACTCACCTCGGAAGTACTGTAGAGACGCCTTCGCCTCCTCATCTCTGCCTTGAGAGAGGAGAAAACTTGGCGATTCCTTGGTGAAGGCAAGCATTAGGATGTATATTAGCGTTGGGATGGTGCAGACGACAGCCAGCCAGCGCCAGGAGCAGAGGGCGGCGCCGACAACATACACTAGCAGAATACCCAATGTCACCATCACCTGGAACCCACTTCCTGGTTTGGACAACAAAATATGATATTAATATTTTCTAACCAACGTGGGTATAAATAGGAGCTGACTCCCATGGACCAATAGGCATTCGTTAGCTTACTTCTTATGCTGATATCACAGCCACCGCTGGCAGCACCACTCAATATTAAATCAACAAGTGAAGATAATATTTACCATTGTGAGCAAAAAATATTATAACATTGTTGGAAAGCATGACTCCTCAGTCATCGATATAATATTCCCCACCCATTCCAGGGGGGGTAGAAATAGCCTAAGCTACTGTATCCCTTTGAGATGTATTTCTTTCTTGTCTCAATAAACATACTTGAACTCCCCACCCATTGTCATAGATACATAACGCTTTTGTGGAATTAAACATCTTACGCTCTGTTTACACAGGAGGAGACTCACCCAGAGTGCCTCTGATGTCAGCGGAGGCAAATTCACCTATGTAGGTTGGCACAGCTGTGCAGGTCACGCCCATACACACGCCAGTGATCACTCGACCCGCCACCAGCATCAACACATTTTGGCCCCCAGCTGAAAAATGTGTATAGTGGAGCCAGGAAAGATTCTGAAACGGTCACATTTATGTGATGCTTCGACGTGAGCTTCATTCACTGAATAATAAAAAACAAATTTAATTTTCAAAATTTATCTTATATACTTTAATATTTATTTATATATATATATATATATATATATATATATATATATATATATATATATATATATATATATATATATATATATATATATGAATAAAAATGGAAATGTTCGTTTGTTCAAAATCGCTAATCTTCGAAAGTTTTTCACCAATTGCTTTGAAATTTTCACACAACGTTCCGTTCGCATCCGAGCAGGTTTTATATACATACTATATAGATGTAACGTCTGTGACGGGGAAAAACATGCTTTTTTTTCTTTTAAATTATGTTTTTCATGTGCGGGAAATCTTCGAAACCTCTTTACCAATTTCTTTGAAATTTTGACACAACGTTGCATTCGAATAAGCGCATGTTTTTATATACCTACTATATACATGCTTCACCTGTGACAGGGGAAAAAAAAGAAAAGCCTTTTCTGAAAAACAGCCCCATCTGTTGGACGTACGAGCAACACACGCTGTTATCTCCGAAAGATCTTCACCGATTGATTTGAAATTTTGACACAACGTTTCATTCGAATACGCGCGTATCTTTATATACCTACTATATAGATGCCACACCTGTGACAGATAAAAACCTGCATCTTTTGAAAAACGCCGCCAATCTGTTGCACGTAATAGCAACACACGCTTTACTCTGTTACGATTCCATTTCAATGTTTCCGTTTGCATTGATAAATTGAAATTTCATAGATTTTGATTTATTTTAATTTTGATTTAATTAAATTGTGTGACATTGTGTTGGAATTGAGCTGTGTACTTCACCATACCGTTCATTTCGTGTGTATAATTATAGATGCCACACCTGTGACAGGTAAAAACATGCTTTTTTGAAAAACGTCATCTGTTGCACATAAGAGCAACACACGCTATACTAAATATGTTACAAATATCCATTTCAATGTTTCTTATTTCATTAATAAATTGGATTTTCCTAGATTTCGATTTATTTTCATTCTGCTTTAATTATTTTGTGTGACATTACGTTGGAACTGAGCTGTATTGTTTACCATACCGTTCATTTCGTGTGTATAGTTTATTTTTCATTTTGTTTTTAACTGTTTTTCTTATATTTCAGTAATGGTAACATCAGATCATTTGATGTTCCCAATTTTCTGATGGGAACATCAGATCATTTGTGAATGCATTTGACAAGGGAGTGGGGAATGGTGGGGAGGACGAGGGGACAGGGGAGGGGGTAATGGTGGGGAGGACTGGGAGACAGGGAAGAATGTTGTGGCTCAGCATATAGGAAGTGAAGAAAGACTAAGGGAACTGTACCTCACCACACTGAAGGAGAAAAGGAAGAGGCAGATATGATAGCAATATACAAGATACAAAGCGGAATTGAGCAGGAAGTCCGAAAATCAATGTTCAAAGGTAGAAACAGTAGAACAAGGGGAACAGAAACAGAAACTGGAGACCCAAATGAGTCACAGAATTGTAGAAGGTCCTTCAGTGTTAGTATAGTAAATAAATGGATTACATGAGGAAGTTGTTAATGCTAACTCAATACACAGTTTTAAAGGTAAATATGATAAGAAATGCGAGGCTTAAGAGCAGACGCTCGACCTCTATGAGTAAATGATCTGAATAGCATCTGAAAGAAAAAATTAAATGTGGAATATAGGGGAACGGGTGGTATTGTAGAGTTCATTCTCGACTCACTATTGGGAATTCCGATAGAATCGAATCCCGAGCGGGACAGTTGAATGGTTGGGCGTGTTTCCTATTCCCTAATGCGTCGGTTCACTTAACAGTAAATAGGTATCCAGGAGTTAGCTTGTTGAGAGTTTGCATCCTGGGGAGGGTCAGTAGTTAAACTTTGTGGGGGATGGGAGTGGATGAACTGTAGAATATTTGAAGATGTTTTACGTACCAATGAGCGCCCACCCTGCCAGGTATGGCAACACTGAGAGCATCATGGTGGCTCTCCTGCCCAGTGTGCTGATCATCACGCCACCCACCAACCCTCCTGCAGCGCCTCCTATGTTCACCGACGATGAGAACCAGTTGTACTCCTCCTGGCTCAGCTGCAGCGTCTCCGTCGTGGTCCTGTTTTGTGGCTGGACATCAGAGGAGGTCGTCGTGTGAGGCCTGTCGGTAATATTTCCCAGGAGTGGTCCAGCAGGATACCCGTCGGAAGTGCTGCCTAGCAGGAGTGGTCCAGCAGGTGAGGAGTAGCCAACAATGACTCCCATGGCAAGGCCTCCCATGGTGGCTGTGAGACAACAGATACTCAGAGTAGTGGCGTGTAGCTGTCTGATTGGCTGTTAATTATCAAGACACGGCCTCAAAGCCTAACCAATAAACTAAATGTCTCTTAATCCTGATAAAATTGTTAACTATATTCTCCCTTGGAAAGATCTCTATACATTATACACCAATCAGCTTAAAGCAAACCAATAACACTGAAACTATGAGATGCATAACGCTAGAAGCTGTTGACAGTCATCTTAAAAATTTAAAACCAATTGAGTTCTATTCCTTTACTCTAGGCTTTTGATTCTAGGTTCTGTGCAAGAGGGCGCAGGTAGAGCAGGTTGTGAGTGCGAAATATATAACGCAAATAAAATGGTCATGTCTATTACGGGCTACTCATGCCAGTGCCACCTCTTGGATGGCTTAATCTTCATCAATTAATCGTCATGTCTAGCACGTAGAGATTGAACGACAGGGCAGCACAACACAAATTGGGTTATTGGGTGTGGCGTTTTGTGTTGCTGTGGATGGTCTTGGTTGTAGGGCGGACATAAAAGCCATTGCATGGTTACTGACGTTTAGACTTATAATTGTACTACGTATTGATTTAGTGAACAAGCATTTCTGGGGTATGAGTTTTCAGTTGTATGTATACCTGGGGACCATTCAGGCTTGTTCGCATTTGTGTTCCTCACGTGTGCCCCAAAGAATGAGGTGATTTGATAAAATACTATGCCCAAGATTACCATCAGTGCCGGCGGGCTGATGGGCAAATAGCCTCTGCTTCCATCAACTTTCGTCCGGTCGTGATGGTCGAGTGGATTAGGTGCCCTGTACACCAGTTGCAAAATGCTCCTGGCAGTATGGGTCCGAGTCACTTCTGGGGTGTAAACTATTTGATCTAGTTTAGATCAACTAAATCTTGATCTAAATGCATCTACTGTTCATATAATCTAGAGTAGCTACGTAAATTCCTTTATATCTAAGTTTTAAAACACAATAAACTCACCGGCGAGAGCAGTATAGTACTGAGTAGCAAGCGCGGGCCTGTTTCCAGGGCGCGGATGTGCTCGGTCCTCCACGTTCTTCATGCTGGTAACCTGGTATTGATCGATATCCCAACTGGCGGTGTGCTCCGGAGAGGAGTCTGAGGTTCCCTTTAGGCTATGGTGAGACTTGGAGCATTAGGTAGACAAGAGCACTCTCTGTGTCTCGAAGCACCGGAGCGATCTCCTGTGTCTGGCTCTGGCTGTATTGTACTGTCGCTCCCAGCATCACACACCCTCTGCATCTGTCTCTCTCTCGCTCTCCCACTCTCGCTCTCTCTCTCTCACTCTCTCTCACGCTCTCTCTCTCTCTCGCTCTCAGTAGGGGGCGGACAGTAAAGCGTTTCTAGTGTTTCCCATTTTATAAGAACTATTTTCTCATAGCTACGAGTAATAAGTGTCCGCCATATCCGTGAACTTAACGAGCAGTGTTAAGAGCACCGATATAATAACACTAATGCCCTGTGTGTTGCAGAGAGAGACATCACTTTTTGCAACGTGAGGACAGTGGCCCTGAATTAGTGCCACAGTTATTTCCAACTAAATGATTAAAATACATTGAATAAAACACAACCGTTGGCACAACTAACATCAGTTTAGTTTGTGAAGTATGTAGATAAGATTAATCATTAACCATGAAACAAGTTGGAAACGGTGATAAGTGTGGCCAAGTGTTAAGAGATGAATCTATCTATAGCCGCTGAGTTGTTAATGAGGGAGAAAACGCCACATGTTAACAGCCAAGAGGTTTTATGCAACTAAGTAATCCTTTGTAAAATACAAGTAAGTCTTTTGTGCTTGTGTAAGTAAATTTATAAGTAACTACTAATACTTTACAAGTATACTAATAATACAGCATTAGCACTTTTTTATTTAAAAGGAGTGTTCTAAGAAAAATTAAACCAAGCTACAAATAATGATGAACATTAACCAGAGCAGATACAAATAACCACAATGTAAAGTGAAAACAGACAAATAAGCACACAGAACGACCCTGTAAACCAGTAAACAATGGAGAGCATGGACATAGTTCGTAAGTAAGAAATAAACGAATTGTAAAGAATATTCCTTCTCATTCCACCCCTTCCCCCCCAAAAAAAATACCAAAATCGAAAAATTACAAATCCATAAAACTACCAATTGAAGCAACACAGATACAACGCAGATCCAAAATTACCTAGTAAATCTGAAGTCTAGTCAATCAGAAGCCTAGACAATCAGAAGCCTAGTCAATCAGTTAGACGTCACTGTGTATCAATTGAGGCTGAAAATCCAGAATCATTAGCATCAGTGAAACATGGGGTGGTGAGAAGAAGACATAACTGAAGAGGAATTCCATCTTCCAGGATACCATTTATCTAACATTAATTACAAAACAATATATTAGGTGTATCTAACGTCATAAGCAGGAGAAAATTTTTTTTACTTGAGTCCTAGCTAGGTACAGGACTCCTTTCTCATATAACATGTATCAGAGCCCGCTCGAGGAAACTGTATTCTAGATCTTGTGCTAACACTAGAAGAGAGCATAATCTATCACATGCAGGTAGGGAAAAAGCTCATCCTCGTGTGATTACAATATTTTAAAAGGGATTACAATTACAGAAACCGTTGTAAAGGTCCCAGATGATGAATTTCTAGACAGCCAAACTCTCATTCTAGGCTAGAATGTGAGCATTCTAGGCTAGAATGTGAGAGGAATTGCAAAACAACTCCTGCAGGGAGTTAACAAGAGATCAAGGCCTAACACGGATTTTTTTTGAAGTTCATCACTATACTTGTTCAAAAATATGTTCCAAGAAAGAGAAGGGAAATGAAACAGAACGAGATGGATGACACAGGCAGAAAAAAGAACTTTAACAAATAAGCTCAACCCTCGGAGCAGGTACCAATCTTGAAAAATCAACATTGATTATGATAGTGATAATTTATAATTAGGGAAAAGTACATCAGTGGAACCGCTTACCCGCCGAAGCCGTAGACGCCAAAACTCTGCTGGGTTTTAAAATTCAGCTGGAAAAGATCATCAATTCAAATGAGGGAACCTTTGACAAGCTTCCGGCTTTCTGTTCTCATCGAGGCCCTCGGGAAAATTCAGGTAAATCTAACATATTCAAAGATTTAAGTATCTGACAGCCTAATGCTGTCTGGGGCTTGAGTTTATTATCGTCTTAATTGCTGATTTGTGTTGATTAATTAGAGGTCGTAGATAATTTGTATAATAGAACCCCCAAGCACAGATACCGTAAGGGTAGATGAGAGAGTAATAAAACGTTACCAGGGCAGGGCGAGGGTCATAATATATGATTTTAGAAAGAATTCCACAAGTCTTATAATTTTGTTTAGATATATTTTGTGTGGCCCTGAAAATTCAGCTTGTTATCAATGAGAACACCAAAGAATTTACCATCTACTTTGTTACTAATTTGGATATTATTAAATCTTAGTTTAATTTGATCAGTGTAATTATTACCAAACAAAATATAAAATGTTTTATCAATGTTAAGGATGAGTTTGTTAGCAGTTAGCCAAAGATGGACTGTATTTAGTTCAGTATTCACTGTATTCATTTCCTGGCCCACCTTCTTCAGGAACTTAAGCGTACAATTTACCCCAGGCGCCCAGGGTCACGGAGCCTACTGACACGAACCTATAACAATGTTCTAGGCCCCTGTGCTTATTAGTTGTTCTGGATCTCCATGAAGGAGACAACTCCACCTTCACCCTCAGCTGTATTGTACTGTATATCGGTATTATCCAATGTAGATGCACACATGTAGTCTCACACCACCTGTTTACCATCCCCCCCCCCCATGGCTGCAGGGTAACTACTGGGCGTTTGTGACTGTTATCAGGCCTGCACATTTGAGATTCCCTTTGTGCTGGACACTTAACTGTAACCAAACTAATCTTGATGATGTCATTGATTGCTTCATGTCTAGCAATCTTTTCCTCTGACTTATGACATAGTCGCCTTGTTGATATGCAGATGCATATCAGCAGATACACAGATGTTCGGTGGAGCTGGGGGGTGGCAAGGCACTGGGCAATACCAATTCTTAGGCCAATGGTCCAGGTGAGTGCCCAAGGTGGAATTAAGGACAGCCAACAGAAAGTCCCCAGCATATGAATTGTTAGATAAATTTAACAAATGTTACATTACATATACAGAATTTATAGTATTGAAAAAATCAGCAACACCAATTAGATTTCTACACCTGTCCTTCCGTTCCTCAGCTGTCTCTCTCACGCTATGCTGTCCCTCAGCTGTCTCTCTCACGCTATGCTGCCCCTCAGCTGTCTTTCTCACGCTATGCTACTCACTATCCCTCTCTGTCTACCTCAGCTTCCCTCACTACCTCTGTCTTGCCACACTCTCTGCTTCTACCTCTCGTGTCTACCAGCTCTTAATGATCTTTAGGCTTGCTTTTACTTTGATATCAAGATGTATAATGCCACTTGTTCTTCTTAAAGACTTTTGAGGTTCTTGTTTAATTTAAGATTCTGCGACCAGTGTGAAGTCTGCTTCTAGCTTCATCTATTAGTCGGTGGAGCAGTCTCTGCCAAATTGGAGCTTTTCGGAGTTAAGTATTAAGTTTTAGTCTTTAGTGTTTTTCCTGACCGAAACGCTTTGCATCATAGTGGCTCTAGGCATTGAATGTACTAGCTCTATCTATAAATCCATCAATGTTTGTATCACACCTTGTATGTATGTACTTTATCTGAATAAACATTTGAATTTTGAATTTGAATTTTGAGAGACGGCCTCGTTCCTGCAGGCCGGTGTCCATCCCTGACCGTGCAAGTGGTTGGGCACTGTTTCTTCTCTTCCTCCTATTCCTGCCCCTATCCTGTCCTCATACCTCTTCCAAGTGTTATACAGTCACAATGGCTTGTGACTGTATATCACTTGGATAATAATTATAATATATATATATATATATATATATATATATATATATATATATATATATATATATATATATATATATATATATATATATATATATATATATATATATATATATTTTTTTTTTTTTTTTTTGCCAAGAAAATTAATCATTATTACAATTATCACCCATATCAAATCCTGTCAATTAACGAGATATCATAAGTGGACAAACCACTACGGCTTAGCCACGAGTTAGTTTAGTTTAGCATCAATAAGGCACTGTGTTGGTTTTAACAAATGGAATGCAATGAAAGAAGTTGTAGAAGCCACCTCCATCCACAACTTTAATACCAGATTCGGCAAAGAATTCGAACGTCACAATACTTAAATTATAACACATCAGGAACAAGGCGAGGCATAATGAGCTAGACATTGCTTGCCCATAGTCACAGATAGGTAAGTACTGGATGGGTGAGTAAGCACCCAGTGTGACATTTGTGTTGGCACAGTTTACTGTGACCCGCCATCTTGCCTAATCCGCTCAGTCTGCTTCCAACCTTCGGCTGAGTCGGTCACGTGGACAGTTGCCCTCCGCCAGTGGTCGCTACAACGCCCTCAACCTGTACTGGAGAACATTAAACTGCAAACAATATATCTCCCCTTCACAACAACGTTACAGTCTGGCACCTGTTCATCTCTACATTAATTCAGAGGTAAGTATTTAAGTTATTTACACTGAAATCTCACTAATACCCATCGTCTGCTTGGCGTACAGCTCATCTTTCGACAAATTTCGTAGTAATCTGGTTCACACTTCTGCTTCCAGTACTGGTGGTGTCTATTCTATTTCCTGTTCGCCTTGTCCTCTCCAAAACTCTGGTGAAGCTGGCCGTTCAGTAAATAAGACTTGAGGAACACAAAAGAAGTGTTAAGTCTACAGACACAAACAAAGCTCTCCTGTCATGTTAGAGACTAATTATCTTATGGATTGGTCTTCTAAATAATCTTTCCTGCCTCTTCTCTCCACAGGCGCCGTCTTGTTAAATCTGCTCCGATACACATGACCAACATGAACCTTAGTCCTGGCTTTATTGCAAATGACTCTTCCCTTTCACAGTATATACTTAAATGCTCTAACCTTCTTAACAAACATAATCAGAGTTTGCCCTTTTTTATTATTCTTACCCGTTTTATTTATTCTTACTTTTCATCTTATTCTTACCTTCTTATTGGTACTTTTCATCCTATTCCTACATTCATCATATTCTCACCTCTCATCTTATTCTTACCTTCATCTTTCTCCTACTTGCTCCACACCTTTCACCTCGCTCTTACCTTATTTATTTATTTATCTGTCCCTTCTCTCCTATCGCACGACTTGATGTTACCTGGAATTTACATGAGGGCCACTAACACTACTGACCTCTACGAGAACAGGAAGCCGGTGGCTTGTCAAATGTCCTCCCATTTGCCCTGATGATTTTTTCCAGATAGATTTTAAAGTTGAGCAGAGTTTTGACATTTACGGCTTCAGAGGGTAGGCGGTTCCATTGGTTTATATAACCCTGTGGGTGAAAAAGCATCTCCTGTTTTCAATCCTACATTGAGGCTTGTTGAGCTTGAAACTGTTGATCCTTGTTTGTGTTACATCTGCAATTTTGAAGAAGTTTTGGATTGGATTTTGGGCTTTATTTATGAAGACGGGCAAGACCATCAGAGGTCAGCCCGTCATAAACAAAATCCAAAATCCATTCCATACAGCCGCCAAACACCCGTGTTTATGCAACCCGTCCTTGGACCAAGTCCATTCCATTCAGCGGTCAACCTCCAAAAATGCATTCATCACTTTTAACATGCTGTTAATTCAAAACAGAACTTTTCTCAAATATAAATTAATATTATTATATATTAGCATATTGTGCATATTTAGGCACTGGTTAGGTGTTTAGGTTCTGTTGGCGATTATTTGTATTTGTAGTACGCGGGTGAAGCATTTATAGCGTTGTGATTCGAACAAAATTCGTCAGTGAAACACTTGTTCCGGATATGTTCGAACGTCAGCAGTTGTGAGTCGTGTGTAAACCGCTTTTCATTCATAAACAGGGGGTTTGGCGGGTGCATGGAATCACTTTTGTATCTTTGTTTGGAGGACGGGCTGGTTCTGGAGGCCGGGCTGGTAAATGCTCATTACAGCTCAATGAACGCTTCGAAACATGGAACAAAATGCTTCGGAATTTGCTAACCTTATTTCCACCTCATTTGCAGTCAGGTAGCTGGCCAGGCTAGGCGTCTGGGTTAGACGTTCTGTCTATAGCCAATTATACGCCGTTTCCATCAAAGTTTTAAGCTAATGTCCATTTTATATATGCAGTATCAGCATTTATTTCTTTAAAGCGTGTAACACTCTATTGAAGGTAAGTGCAGCTGACATTTAACTTGCTACGCCAAATCTCGACAGTCATGGTCCATCCAGTCCTCTTTTTTTTTCTAATACATTACATGTTTTACGTAATGAACCAATCCGCTAAAAATGCGATTTATTAGTAAAAAGTATAGCCCTGTAATATTGATATGATACAAGGTTAGGTGGGATGCTTGGGTACGTACGTTTTTAGTTACGCAAAAGTGTTGCCTTTTTTACTGACTGGTTCAACTCGTCCTGTCAACAAGTCGTTTTTTTTATTATTAATCAAGCCTGAGGCGGTTAGTTGATTGTGTACCCCATAATTATCCTGATAGACATATTGTACACTCTCACGACTTCATAATGGACGGACCGAAACGTCGTTTCTTCATTTTTTGTAAGGTTTGGACATCATGCCTGGCTCGTGATGTGAGGTTTGGACATCATGCCTAGCTCGTGACTGAAATTCTTGTTTTGTATAAATAGAATATTTAACTACTTCTCAAAGTTTTAATCGTCTGAATAGTAAAATCCAAGTTTTTCTCGATTAATAAACTTTAATGCGTATTTTGTTTGTAAAAATTTAAAGGTTATAGTGCGAGATATTTACTATGCCAATTGCTAATTTCTAGTTAAAATTAGGCGCTAAACGAGGCATTCCCTGGCTTACTAGGTGGCCAAGGATGCCTCGGTCAACTTTGCTAATTTAACTATAATCATACTCCACCTAAGTAAAACAAAAACGAGCAAACCTTAGTGGGCCAGCCAGAGACTTGGGGCCCGCGCAGGAATTTCTCTGCTAGAAAGAGAAAAACAACAATTAGCGACGTGTGTAGTCTGGCCTGCGTCGCACGTCGTGTTTGACCAGGAACTCATGATTGATCACGTCCAAATAACTATCATTAAATACCTCCCAAATCTGTAGTTATGGTCTTTAATGATGGTGATATTTTAATGTTTCTTAAATTGTTTAAATTTTAACTATTGATCGTTGTAAATACGGTGTTTGGATGAAATTGTCCACACCTCTGGTACTAGGTATCTTTGACAAGCCGCCGGCTTCCTTTCGAGGCTGGCGGCTTGTGTTATTGGCCGTCAGGTAAATACTTTTTTTTTTTCAAGGTGGGAACCTTGAGGTGATTGAGGCGCCCTCCTACTCCATGAACCAGCAGACAATGTTGGTGGCTCTGTTGTTGTTGTTGTATTAGACTCGGCTACTCGGAACAAATGCACCACGAAGCACGGGCTTCCTGGTACTTTTGTTCTGGAGTTTGTACCAGGCAAGTGCCTGGTACAAACAGTTTACACAGGGTTACAGCAGTTTACACAAGGGTTCTATTAACACAAGACTAGAGATTTTTGTATAATTAAAGGACAATTTTTACCATTGTTAAATCTCAATCTGAATTATTGTTTAATAGGCTTTTCAAAGGGCATATGGAAATAATGAAACCAGATTTGGGTAAAGAAAAATCAGTAACTAACCTTTGCTAAACAGTTGTTTTAGGAAGACGAGGTTTTATTTAGGGACGAGGATGCAATATATTCAAGGAATTTTTGAGTGGGTAAACCTTGGGTGGAAGGGAAGAGTATGGGTGTCTTAGGCTGTAGGAACTTCAAAGTGCAAGCTCAGAGTTTTGGGAATATTATTTTAAAAAGACATGCAGATGAACTTACGCCAAGGTTTACTGGGAATTATGAAGACTCTAAGGAGAGTGTTGAATTGCCAACAAGGGACACTAAAGTTGATAATGAAAGAATTACCCCCAAGAGGTGACAGTGTCAAAAGTTCAGCAGGGCGGGGTGGGAGGAGATAACGCTAACACCATGGAATCAGAAGTCGGTAAATCAGAGTAAATCATCCCAAAATTAACAGGTCTTGATCCCCGGGTTAGGATATCTGGCAGGGGTCATAAAACTGCCTGGTAAAAAGTAAAGATGTTTTCTCATTCTGCCCTTCACTTAACACACAGCATCACCTCACTCCACCTCGAGTACCGACTACCGCAACAGTGGCAAGAGAAGTTTCAGTACGAAAATGCAGAAAACTCCGTTCACATGAAATTTTAAAAATACAAAAATCATTTTCATTTTGTAATTTTTTTTAGTGTGGTAGAAAGAAAATGTTTTTTTTTTGTAGAAAAATATAATACTCGTTAATGTGGCTGAATAAGATTATGGCAAAAAACTGCAAAACCTCTATGGGCACTCCTAAGAATAATTATCAGTTATAATTATTCCCTCCTTCCCGCTAAGATATGGCGGGAGGGAAGAGGTGATAGGGAGGGTGAATCATGCAAACTCATAATACAGTAAACAAGATTGTGACTGGAGGGCCAAGTGACGCCTCTCATTCACCCTACGAAGATTACAGTTAATAATAATACTTTTATTCTATACAGTACTCAGGAAATTCGCCATGAGGAAGCAGGTGGCTGAAGATGCAAGTCCGTCAGAAACTGCGCTTCACAGGGAGTGTGAGCTTTGTGGGGAAGACCCGGCGGGAGAATACGGCAGCAGTTGTCACCATCCGGAGGACTCTGCCTCCTCCACGTCGCCTGAGCCCAGTGACGGCTCCCGAGCTGCTCTGCTGCCACAGGTATGTGAGCCTATCTTGATTTTGGCTGGATAGTAGAGCGACGGTCTCGCTTCATGCAGGTCGGCTCTCAATCCCTAACCGTCCGATCGGTTTGGTACCATTTCTTCCTCCCGTCCCATCCCAAATCCTTATCCTGACCCCCTTCTACTAAATAGTACTAAATAGTCGTAATAGCTTGGCGCTTTCTCCTGATCCTAGCCTTCCCTTGCTACTTGCTATAATCTTAGTTATCGCGAGGTAAGATAAATATAAAGGGAGAGCGTGAAGGCAGCGTTACTATAAAACATTAAAACTTGGAACGGGAATGAGGACAAGGAGCTAGAGATTGACGAACGGTTCTCAACTATAGGGGATCGAACACAGTCCTGTAAGATGCGATGTATGTCTTTGCTTAATCGACCAGTCCACGCCAGATGGGCATAGTAATAGATTAGTGGCGTTACATTTTGATAACGTTGTAATAACGCCATTGTAATTACCCGGAATTCACCTCTGTACTACAATGGAAATACTTAGTAGAATATTAACACTTGGTCTGTCATACGAGGACCTAAATAATCACTCAAGCTGGACTGAGTTCTGGGTAGGCAACTTAAGTTATCAGGGATGGGGATGGGGGGTGACGCCAATCCGTTACGTCTATATAACACTTGGAAGGGTACCATTAATACACACGGGAATGACACTTTGAGAATGACTTCATTTAACACATGAAAAAGATAAATCCTAACTGTGTTCCAATTGACAATTAAATGGCAAGATGATGTACCCAGCATCTTGTCATTTGTCAACTGGAACACAGGATTAGGCACAGGGAGTTACGGCACAGGGTGGCTAACCATAGCCCGTGCCTCTTGCCCCGCTCCTGTGCCAGGTAAGTTACGGGCTCACCATAGCCCGTGCTACTTATAACTTGTTTAGAGTAGCTGAATCAATAACAACAATAAATAAGGCACGGAGTTTCACGGGACCACTGGGAGGACAATAAACCCAGTACTTGAAGAGTGTCATATCTGTGGAACAGATCTGCAGAAAGTCTACTTATAATTACTTACTGGAATGTAAAGCAACTTAAGCCCTGCGCATCAAACTCAACATTCATCCAACAAGAGCAGCTGCATTAAATGCAAAATCCAGAGGCTACAATGGCTAAAAAAAAGCAGTTGAAGAATGGACGGCACTAGACAACACTTTGCATCAGTATCCCCCACCAAGATAACATTACTAAAATAAAAGATTAAATCAGTGCAAAAAGAAGGAAACTCTATCTTAATTTAAAACATTCACCCAGATGTCACAGTAACAAGGTTATCGTGAAAAACGGAATTCAATTACGGGTTCGCCATAACCCGTGCTACCTGGACATTTTGTTCACAATAGCTGAGTCTTAAACAACAACAACAACAACACTCATCCACGTGACTTTGAGACGTTGTTGTTCCCGGGTCTACACCCCCCCCCCCTTACAAACACACGCACAAGCTCGCGCTCTCTCTCTCGCTCTCTCTCTCTCGCTCTCTCTCTCTCGCTCTCTCTCTCTCTCTCTCTCTCTCTCTCTCTCTCTCTCGCTCTCTCTCTCTCGCTCTCTCTCTCTCGCTCTCTCTCGCTCTCGCTCTCTCGCTCTCGCTCTCTCTCTCTCGCTCTCTCTCTCTCGCTCTCTCTCTCGCTCTCTCTCTCGCTCTCTAGCTCGCTCTCTCATCCTCTCCTGTCGTGTGTTTTAAATTCAGCCACTCAGAACAAAAAGTTTCAATAAACGGGCTTTGGTTTATGTATTTTGTGACGGAAAAAAATAATGTTGGTGCACTCTCTTTAGGGTAGATGGAATGCCAGCCACATAAAACAAACAGCAAAAAAAAAAAAGTAAAAAAAAAATTAAGACTGCTATTTGTCTTCACTGTGAAGTAAGTGTAGGATAAGACAAAGAAAAACATGTAAAAATACTTAATAAAAATGACGTTAAACAAAGTACAAAACAAAATGATATCCAGGCTTGGCTCCAATACAACGTGTGCAAAACAATCAATATGAACAATCAAATTTACGTTACGTTAATGTGCACATAAAATGTGGAGCTAGAGTACTATGAGCTAGACTGCATAAACCTGTTACCACACAGATATGCCAACAGATCTTTGCAGTAGAGCACTCAGGAGTAATCTGAATCGTGGTGATTGATGAGCTGTGCTCCTTTTGAGTGATTTTAACTGTCGACATACCCTCTGGGGAACTCTGACGAACATCCAGGGCCGTCTTCTTGAACCATTTGTCCTCTCTTCTTCTGTCTCTTCTGAATTCTAGTGAGCCAACTCATGTTTACTCCTGCACTTGCACACTTTCCTGTCTATCTTTCTCTCTGCTCGTCTTCTCTTTATTTGGACTTCACCTGGTAGGTTCTTGATGACCTACATAAGTGACCATTTACCCATCCTTGTCTTCACCCTCCCCTCTCCTTCCCTAGGTGGCAGTTTGCTAAGGCTGACTGGAACCTCTTCACCTTATGCACTACTCTTTCCGACCTCTCTGATCTGCCTCTCCCCAAAGCCTTCCTCCTCTTTCATTACAGATTTGATGCTGCTCTCTGCTCTATCCCGAGCTCTACCTCCCAGAAGTGCATTTCCTGGTGGAATGCAGGCAGTGCTTGGGCTATCCACTGTAAGTGGGCAGCCTGGAAAAACACTGTTGCTGATGGAAAGCCCATTGTTTTGTATTGTTTCAGAAGGAGAGTGCAGTGAAGTAGGGCCATCTGTACGATTATCCATATGGCTAAGTGTGAGGGTTGGAGATCTTTCGTTTCCACCACTATGTCTGACACTCCGCTACCCCCGTTTTGGAAGAAAATCTGCAATACCACCATAACCGGCGGTGGGAAACGGCTCTGGCGAGTTTACATATTGGCCATACTCGTTTAACTCACGGGCACTTAATGTAGCGCCGCCCAGCTCCTTATTGTCCAAACTGCATTGTCCCTCTTATGGTCGTACATATCCTTGGTGAATATCCTGATTTCCAGGATGTGCGTGTCTTGCTTCCCAACTTTCATCCCTACCCCATTCATCTATAAATTCATCAATATTTGTATCACCTCTTGCATGTATGTACTTTACCTGAATAAACATTTGAATTTTGAATTTTTTTGAACTGTCCCTAGCGGTCACCTGTCCCTCGATAGAATCCTTGGTGAATCTGATACCCTTGATATTGTTGACCAGACCACACACTAGAAATTGAAGGGACGACGACAATCGACTTGAGAATGGTCCAGGACGGACCGAAACGTCGTCGTCCCTTCAATTTCTAGTGTGTGGTCTGGTCAACATACTTCAGCCACGTTATTGTGACTCATCGCCTGCCCTTGATATTGTTCGTCCTATGTGTTTTTGTTCTCGTATTGGCATCCTTAGTGATATTTAGCGCCTTTTAAATATCCCGTACGTTTGAGTGCTATATAGCCTCCCCGGCTTTGTGCCTTTTTGTGACAATTACTTGCTTGCATCGTCTCAGCATTGCAGCTTCTAGTTGATTGGCAGGTTATGGCGACGGTCGTTGCAGCTCTCGCCCAAGTGGACATGGGTGCTATGATTGGTTTTGCGGGAGTGACTCTACCACAACTTATGGACAAAACTTCAGGCGACCTCGTACTGGACACCTCACAGTCAGCCCTCTTTGGTAGGTTTCTTCAGAGTAGTCATGCCTTTAGTCAGCTTCTCTGATCGCTTTCAGCAGTTCCGCTTCCTGTAATATCTACCCCATGCACCAGACAAACATCAACCGACACTCGCCTTATTAATATTCTACCCAAATAGGGCTCCATCCATTCCCCAGCCATCAACAACTCCAAAACTCTACCATTTACATTAAATCTCTAAAAATACTAAAAATTCACTCCAGACATTTTCTTGTGCTATTTGCATGTACAAAACCACACCAGACCCTACAATGGCCGCAGCAACGGTGACGACCTCCATCTTGGCAGCCTCCCTCTTTCCAATCAACCTTGAAGCTCTAACGACCAGGGCCGAGGAACTATGCTGACGTCACTCATCCTTGTCACTTAAGTTATTCCTTTGTCGTCTTCCTGACAGCTTGTGCAGGCACCCCTAACACACTGCTCTCTTGACCTGGCATGTTCACTCTGACCCCCATACTTTTCCAGTTGAACATTCTTCCACTGCTCCCCCTTTCTTTGTGAGTAAATAGTATATGGTCTGTTCCATTTATCTCTCGCACATATTCTGCTTTCCATTTCAGAGGTTGAGCTTGGTTGTTAAAACTTATTATACTGCCTTTGTCCTCCATCTTGGTTTTTGTAATAATTATTATAATAATTTTAATTTTATTATGCCTTCCTTCACCTATATTTATAACCCATATATTCAGGAGCTTGGGTTTATAAGTTAGTCTTCTAAATATTACAATTTAACATAGCAATTGCAAAATGCAAATTTAAGGAAACTTTTTATTCCATTGATTTCAGGTAGCATGATGTTCTTGGGCGCCATGTTGGGGTCCTCCATTGTTGGTTTGCCTATGGTGCGTTTGGGCCAGCGAGTGACGCTCCTGTTGGCTCTACCCTTATCACTGACCAACTGGCTCGTCTTGGCCACCGCACCCACGGCCTGGCTCATCTTGGCCTCCCGCTTCACTCAGGGCATCGTCTTCAGCTTCCTGGCAAATGCTGCCTCGACTTACGTAGCAGAGCTTGCCCACAGCACACTGCGAGGGAGCCTGTCCTCTATTCTAGACCTTTCTCGTCAGATTGGCATTCTTCTGGTATATGCTATAGGAAGCTCAAGTCTAAATTGGCGAAAAGTGGCAATGACGTGTGGAGTTTTAAACACTGTTATTCCATTTATTGGACTGTTGAAATTACCAAGCTCACCACGGTGGTTAGCCACGCGAGGATATAATGACAGAGCTCTCAAATCCTTAGTCTTCTTCCGGGGCTCAAGCTACGATGTTCACAGCGAGATGAAGGGCATTACAGAGCAGCTCGGTACAACGTCATCTGATAGAAGAACTATATTAGATCAGCTTCGAGAACTTCGAAAGCCATCGATACTTAGATATATTATCATCATGTCATTTGTTTTGTATTTTTATCACTTCAGTGGCGCAATGGTTATTCCTACATATATCGTAGTTATTGTTAACATTGCAAATGTTAATATAAGCTCGTATTTGTGTGCCGTTGTTATAGGTATTGTTCGAGTTATTGGGACGTTGTTCTTTATTTGCGTCATAGATAAGATTGATCGCAAGCCTTTATTCGCAATTTCTTCTGTTCTGTGCAGCTTGTGTTTGATTGGAGTAGGCATTTTCTTCTTTGACCAGGTTCACGGCCAACACCTCAAAGACCACACCTGGTTACCAATCACTTGCCTCGCAGTCTATTCGTTTTTCTCTGTATCTCCAATTGTTAACGTTCTTCGAAGTGAACTTTTTCCGAGTTCTGTTCGTTCGGTCGTTGTTCCTCTTTTATACACAATATTCTTTATTGGGGCATTTACCACTGTAGAGGCGTATCCTTACCTCGTGGAAGCGTTGGGGATCTATGGGGCATTTTGGATCTCTTCTGGTTTCATCATTCTTCTGGTTGTTATTGTTGTCACTACTATTCCCGAGACTCGAGGCAAAACTCTGGAGGAAATAACAGAGTTACAGAGTCTGAGGAGAAGTGCGTCCGAACACTTCGCAGGTGTTTGATGGGAGAGAAACCGAGGGATATAAGATTGACCACAGCTGGCATAAGATAGATACTCTCTCTATAGCTATAGGATTTATTCCCTCTATGGCTGTTGCTTAGAGACATAGTTTTGTTGGAGATAGGAAGCATGTTTGTATGTGTATATAATATATATACTTTAGGCTTGTATTTAGGTCCCCCAGGTAAAACTTCTGACCTTCCGCAGAATGTAACGCCACATTTGCCTAACTTTTCAGTACCTTTTTAGTTCTGGGTGAACTCCTGAGGCATTAGGTGGAAACAAACTTACCCAACCATTTCTGTACTCCTCGGGAATCAAACCTTCGGGCATTGTCCCATACTTCTTGGGGAGCGGATAGGCGCACTCTCCTTGCTTTACATTCCTCTCTCGTCCTGTCTAAGCTCGATTATGGTTGCCCTGCTTACTCGTCTGCTTCTCCTCCTACTCTTCGCCGTCTTGATGCTTTGCACCATACTGGGTTGCGCCTCAGTTCTTGTGCCTTTCGTTCGACTCCCGTCCTTAGCTTGTATATTGACACTGGCTTCCTGTCTCTCCAGGACCGCCGTGATCGCTACTGTCTTCGCTCTCTTGCGCGGTCCTTACAACATCCTTCCTCTCGCCTCTGTCGGCCCCTCGCGGTCGCCTGTCCCTCAATGGAATTCTTGGTGACTCGGATACTTTTGATATCGTTCGCCTTATGCCTTTTTGTTCTTGTATTGACATCCTTGGTGATATTTAGCGCCCTCTGATTATTCCGCACATTTGATGGTGCTACATAGCCTTCCCGGTTTGGTGCCTTCTTTTGATAATTACTTACTTACTTCTCACGTTCACTCATCTTATTGTAGTCTCCATGTCTCTTATCTCATCTTAAACAGGTTTCTTTGTCTAACTTTTTGAGCTTAACCATGTATTCAAATATAATGCAGTGGTCGCTTGCTCCTAGAGGAGGCATATTCTAATTACATCGTTTTTGGAAAACGCCCGGTCTGGTGTTGGTGTCTTGCCTTACTAGCTGTGTAATATGCTGCTTTTGGAAGTTTGTCCATGTCTACCGGTCTTGCTCTCCATGTCTAATCACCCTCGTGAGGAGGTACTTTGTCTAGTCTGCACATTTGATGGTGCTACATAGCCTTCCCGGTTTGGTGCCTTCTTTTGATAATTATTTACTTACTTTTGATAATTACTTACTTACTACTTTTGATAATTACTTATTTAATACAATTATTAATTTAATTAGACTTTATAATATATATTTATTTCTTATGTTTATTTTGATAGCAAACTGTATGATGTTAGTGTTAGTGTATGATTTAATTTCCCACATAGTTTCCTACACAAGCTGGGGGTGTTTATTAAATATATAGTCTATCAATCGAAATTATCGATTGGTAGACATTTACTACAATGTTAATACTAAATGGATTAGTGAATATATGAAACAAATAAAGCTTATCTGTATTGTTGATTTTGGTCTGGACAACCAGATATGAACACGTATGATCAGACTGACTCCTTGTGGGTGATGTTTGTATAATCACATGTTATACGTCGTACCAGGTAGTTACTGCTAATTCTTCTTCCCCTTCAATTTCGCCTGTCAAAAGGCACCCACAATAATAATCGTAACCTTATATATGACAGTTATATCGGGCGAAATTATTGTAATTAGATAAGATAAGATTTAATTAATATTTACCATTTTGGGGTGGCTCGCCATGCGTTCTCGCCGGTCTACCCTAATATATCTACCTATATTACTGGCCAGGAATGACTAGATTTAACGGGTTATCAGATATAGAACACTTCCCTTAATGTTAACAAAGATCGTGCTGATGATGGGAGCTGTTTACATCCGACAACAGAGTCTAGAGAGGAAATTGCGGAGCTTCAAGCGAGCTCCTAGACCTTTGTTTACGTTAAAATTAATGGCGTTTGCTCCTCTCCCACTCATGCATCGGCTGCGTTTTATTAAGAAGTGGAAAGAGGGTTTATATTTAATTTATTTTAGTGCTAATAATAAAATTCATTTAAAGGAAATGTTCTTATGTTTACAGTCGAGAGACTGATGTTTTATGAAGAATTCCCAATGTTATTAGCTGGTGAACTTAATGGCGACATGGCAATGATACCCTGTTTTCTTCCGTGGAAAATTCTACTACAATCTCGTTTTCTTTCAATGAATTTGTTAGTAAATGGTGTCTTTTTCTGACACTATGCGTGCTAGTAAGAAATGTATATGTTTATCTCTTAGAATGTTCGGTAATATGTTTATTGCTTGTGATGTGTGTATATATATGTATGGACACGTTGTACTGAACGGGGTGAGAATAGCTAGAGCTACCTCGTCCCTTTGTGTGTAATTGACCTCAATAAACTAATTTCAATTAAATTTCATGCGTGTTAGTGACTTTACAAAAATGTAAAAACATCAATATGTATTCTCGTAAACCCAATGAACCTTCTTGTAAATAAATAAATAAATAAATAACTATATTTAGGTGTAGTGAACATCTGTGTGTGTTCCAGAGTCTAGTGATATACTTTGAGTTATGTTATTTCTGTAATCCATGTGTAGGTCGATATATTTTTGCAGTGTTGGTAGTTGTGTTGCTGAACCAGTGTAATTGTGGTCGATCTCGAACCCATTGATAATGTGACGACTAATACTGAATTTTGTAACTAGCTCATAAAGATTGTAACTTAGCTATATGAATTGTGGGGTTCAGTCACTGAGCCCATTATGTGCCTCTGTAACCCTTTCCACTACCGCCCACAAAATGGGTATGGGGTGCATAATAAATGAAACCAAACCAAACAAAAATAACAATCATGATATAAGATGATAGCAGTGATTATAATGGTGAAATTGAATGGCTTAGGCATATATATTGGGAGGTGGGTAGCACAAGATACAGTGCGAATTTAAGGCACTGGGTAGGAAACTATGAGGACGAAATTAGGTACTTTATTTTTTAATAAGGTGTAAGTTCGACAGCTCTTCAATTCGTTAGGGAGTGAGTTTTGTAGCGAGTAAATAATATACTCGTTCTAATCTCTCATTAACACTAATGATGAACTCAAAAATTTTCCCTAATTAGAGTTAACATTCCTTCCAACCTATTGGAGGACTGTAAGGTGTAGGCCAATCATGTAAGCAATCGAGAAGCGGGTAACCACCTTTACGGGCTATTCATGCCCATGCCACCTTTTGGGTGGTTTAATCTTTATCAATCAGTCAATCGAGTAACCACCAGTATAATTTCCACAGTGATTCAGTTAACTACAGTACCAACGCTTCGGAGTTACCACACCTCTTCAACCTCAAGAATGTTGAAATTGAAATTGAAATAAGTTTGAGGTAAAATACACACAAAGGGATGAAGTAGCTCAAGCAATTCTCACCCCGTTCAGTACATCGTGTTAATACATACATATAAACACATCACAAACAATAAACATATTGCCAAACATTCTGAGAGATAAACATCTACATTTCCTACAAGAATGTAGCACTCGGAGTGTACAGTGTACATAGAACTGTTCCTTAGAACTGAATGTATACCCTTAGTTAATACCCTTTAATGGTATAGTGTTTACGCAGATTTAGTTTGACTCTGAGGATATCTTATTGAATCTCATTGAAACTTAAGATACTGAAGAATTTGGAGGATGTTGTTCGTTCGCTCTTGTCCCATCTCCTGTAAAGATATTCCTTATACCGACTTTTACCCCAGTTATTCATTCCTACATCCTTACCCGTTGGCAGGACTGTTGGTCTTCTGTTACTGGTAACAAACTGCGTACTCTTAAGAGTAGTGTGTCGGCCTTCCTCCTACCACCGTAACCGGCGCATCATTTATAATTTTGGGATGAATTCTCTAACCTTGTAACTCTGTGAGCAGGAACTGCGGCATGATCTCGCACACTACATCACCGAATGCCCAGTTATCAGGCCATTCAGACCCATTGACATGAGGTACCTGGAGCTTTGCAATTACTTTATTCACTCGTGTTCTTGAAGATATCCTCATATTGCACTCAAAATCTGCCAGTGCAGGCTACTGAATATATGGCCTCGTATGACTAACCATCGTGCGAAATGGGGACTTTTAGTATCACTACTACCTTATTCACTCTTGTGTTCATGATGATATCCTCATTATGTACCAAGAGTTCGACAGTGCAGACTACTCATCTGCCAGAAACGATATGCGTGCTAGTAGCTTTACAAGAATTTAAAATCATCAATGATATGTACTCTCACAATCCCAATGTTTCTTCTTGTATAAATAAATAAGTAAATAAATAAATAACATACCTTTGTATGACCAACCATTCTGTGTGATAAGGATTTTTAACATCACGTAGCTAGTTTTTTTTTTGAGACTGTACTCCCTTCATACAGTTTAGGGCAGCTGCACAAATGCAGATGTTCCTAAATGTGTTAATAATAATAATAATAATAATAATAATAATAATAATAATAATAATAATAATAATAAACCTCTTGGCACTGTCCACTTGTGACCCGCCATCTCTTCAGGATCCACTCAGTCCGCTGCCAACCTGCGGCTGAGGCGGACACGTGGACAGTTGCCCTCCGCCAGTGGTCGCTGCACCGCCTTCAACCTGTGCTGGCGAACATTAAACTGCAAACAATAGAAGTCTGCTTCTCAAACACGTTACAGTCTGGCACCCGTTCACCTCTACACTAATTTAGAGGTAAGTATTTCACGGATTTACTCAATTTTTTACACTAGGTTACTGCTCATTGTATATATATTTACACTAGGTTAGTCATTGTGTACACTAAGTTGATGGGCAATGTATATATTTATACTAAGTTACTATCCAATGTATCATAACCGTTGTTGCGGACAGGAAGCTTGTACTTTTGCCTATCGAATTTACTCGATTCGGTTCCGAGGACAGTTTATTCTCATTCTGTACATTGTTTTATTGTTTGGATGCGGTGGAAAGAAAATGTTTTTCGGGTGGAAAAAATCAGGTCCACATTGATGTGGTTGAACCATATTATGGCACAAATTTGCGAAAATATCTTGACACTCCTAGGAATAGTAGTTAGACACACAGGGTGAAGATATTTAAATGAATTTACCTGAGGGCCACTAATCCCAATAACACTAGTGGCCTCTACGAGGGCAGGAAGCAGGCGGCTTGTCGAAGGTTCCCCCCATTTTCTTTGATGATCTTTTCCAGTTGGACTTTAAAATCTAACAGAGTTTTATGCATTTACGGCTTCAGCGGGTAGGGAAATTCACTGACTGTGGAGGGCCAAGTGACGCCTCTCATTCACCCTACGAAGATTACAGTTAATAATAATACTTTTATTCTATACAGTACTCAGGAAATTCGCCATGAGGAAGCAGGTGGCTGAAGATGCAAGTCCGTCAGAAACTGCGCTTCTGAGGAAGGAGTGTGAGCTTTGTGGGGAAGACCCGGCGGGAGAATACGGCAGCAGTTGTCACCATCCGGAGGACTCTGCCTCCTCCACGTCGCCTGAGCCCAGTGACGGCTCCCGAGCTGCTCTGCTGCCACAGGTATGTGAGCGTATCTTGACTTGGGCCACCACTGTTAAAAACTGATTTGCATATAATGCATGTATTGTCGTATATTATTAAATCAATGTAATTATAAAATGAAATCAATAAACTCCAACTAGTCTCTCCGAGACGTTACAGTTCGGCTCTTGACACAATAAATTTACAAAGGAAAAGGTTACTGAAGCCCAATTGTAATTCAAATTCATATTGTTATTCAACAGAATGTGTGTTCAAAGAACATATGAGTAATGTACAATTGTGGGAACAGGAGTTACACAATAATAATAATAATAATAATAATAATATTATTATTATTATTATTATTATTATTATTATTTACAAGAAGGTACAATTGGTTTGTGAGATTACATAAGATTGGTATTTTTACATTCTTGCAAAGCCACTAACACGCATAGCGTTTCTTAATGTAACATATCAGATAAGATGAAAAGGTACGTTGTAGTAAAAATGTATATCAACATATAACTACAATATAAATTGACAGAGGTGATTACACTTGTGAAGATATATATCTTAAGTATTAATATTAGGGAAGTGTATAGCACAACATACAGTTTGAGTTTGAAGCACAAGCCACTATTATTATTATAATTAATAAAGCCACTTATGCAAACCGTTTCAATCAAAACTTAAAATAATTTAGAGATAAATTATTTAAAGGTGTGAAGGGGGTTAACACTTAATACTAAAAGAGAAGTAAGCTAACAAAATTCAGAAAGTTCAAGAAAAATAACAAATGTATAAATGAAGAAGTGATACTTAATGATGACAGGCAATTACATTATGAAGTCCTTAGTTCTAGCAACAGGACAGTAGTTATTTACATTAATAACAATGGAAAAACAGGTGTAATTTAGAAAAGCAATTGGAACATAACAAAACATAGAGTAATATAGTATAATTTAAGTTTAATGGGGCAGTTTAGTTCATATCTATATTTAAATATAAATAATTTACGCTGATACATATTCCTCATTTTCTCAATATCAGGAGTACCAATATCAAACCCATTAGGCTTTCTTTCAGGCACTAAAGTAGAGTTGCGCCATGAAAACGTCTCCTTGCTACAAAGAATGAGTAGGGACCAAGACAACAAATTTTCACAACCTTACATAATCTCATAACCTCTTTATAGGAAACCCGACCCGACCAAAATAGGAAATTTTCAACCGGGATCAAATTTTATTTTAATATGTGTTTATAATTTATACTTGTAAACTTTTAGTCGGGATTGTAGAGCTTGGTGCATGAGCTGGCCAGACTTGGGTGTTGTCGCTGGGTGACGCAACACCAGACGTGCCTTACATTTGATGCTGCCAATGCTTGGTAGCGAGGGCTGGCTCTTGTGTTGATGTCAGCTGGATGTTGATGTTCTATGCATTAGCACCCAAAACCTACTTCATAGTGACGTCACACACCTCATGCATACTGCACTAGAGTTAGTTAAGTTCATTTATTATGCACCCCATACCCACCTTGTGGGCGGTAGTGGAAAGGGTTACAGAGGCACATAATGGGCTCAGGGACTGAACCCCACAATTCATTTAGCTAAACAAGTTACAATCTTGATGAGCTACTTACAAAATTCAGTGTAAGTCGTCACATCATCAATGGGTTCGAGGTCGACCACAAGTACAGTTTCTAAATTAAGCAACTGACATATGTGGAGAGCTAGTGTCACAATTGATATGTTTGTCCTGCACATCGCCCCCCATCCAGTGGGAAGCGGGGGATAGGTTACAGTCACTTAGTTACTACCTACAGTTTGCAAACTGGGGATATTTGGCTAAAATTTCTGGTAGCAGATAATTTTGAATGAAATATTTACACATTGCTGGAACATTTGGTTATTGAATTGTCTCTTAATTCACGTATCTTTTCGCACTCTATCCCATAGTGACGGAGGGTGTGCAAATAATTTTGTTGAAACAGTTTACATTTGGTCAGGTCTACATCAGCAGATAATGAGAATTCCCATAGATACTTGTAGCCGAGTCTAAGCCGAGCAGTAGTAACATTTAGAAGTCTGCTGATTTTATTGGATTAACCATAGATGTGTGGCTCCTCTTGCATGATAGCATGATGATAGATGGAACTACTGGTGTCAATTTCACTTTGCCTCATATCTACAAGATTTTGTTGAAGTTCTTGGTGTACTGCTGCTCTCAGATTGCTCATTGACAATCCAAAGTTACATTCAACGTCTCCTTTAAAGACAAAGAATCTGCAATAGAGTATATATATAAAACTAAATATTATCTATTGCCACCTCTTGGGTGACTTAATCTTCACCAATTAATCATCTATGGTTCTCAGTTAGGATAGGTTGCACGCGTTATGTTTACTGTTAGGTGAACAGGTGCATCTGGTGTAAGATCGCCCCTAGTCCAACTACTGACCTTCCCCAGAATGCAAACCACAACAGTTGTCTAACTCCCAGATGCCCATTTACTGCTAGGTGAGCAGAATCATCAGGTGAAAATAAAATTGCCCAGGAATTTCTGTCCCGTCAGGGGATCGATCCCTAAATCTTCGAGTGGAGAAGGTAGACCACTGTACCACAGAACTCATAAATTCAAATTAAGGGTTGAAGGGTTCGAACCTAAGCCACCAGGGTGGCAGCCTCGTACTGTGCCCATTCTACCTACCGTATGTGTTGTGTATCGTCTGCCCTCAGGTTCTGTTACCGAATTCTTAAACCACACGCTCACTGGGGGAGCTGATGAGAAATAGCAGCTTCTTTGAGACGCAAATTGTCTCCAATCTCCAGAGTTGTCACTTGATGAGATAATGGAGTTGGGACTTGAGGGTACAAAACGGGACGAAACCTCCACTCAGATCTGATTAAGACGTTTTGTGCCCTCTGTAACCCTCCTTACTCTCGCGTGTGTGGGTCGAGTTATTTATAACAGACATGATTCCGTAGGACTAGTTGGTCGGTCGTGACTGTCATTTCAGCGACCTCTATATTTTCCAGAGATAGTACATATAGCGATTGTGTATATGTACAAAATGTGAAATATTACAACCAAAACAAGTCCATGTACCGTACTTTTTAACTCACTGAGGACCCCGTGTCGTACTGAACACGTCCTACAGCGAGCTGAGGCTGCTCGTCAACCGTGTGCCACTTGCCAGATTCCAATTTTATTGCATTCCGAGAAATTAAATATATTATTCACCCTTTCAGTACTAAAATTATATTCCTAATAATATTGTTTTTAATTTATTGTGGGGCCGCCTTTTCATGGGCTATGGTCCATTGTAAGTTCGGCAATGGGAAAATAACTGGTATTTTGCCTAGGGCCTCCTCTTTACTTGAGGCCCTAAGCATGTGCGTAATTTGCTTCGTGGTTAATTCAGGGTTGCTGGTCCCCAGTGAGAGCGGGTAACACATATACTATGCTTAACCTGCATAACTTAGCTCCTGAACTTACGGCCACTAAAGCCTTCTCTGCCCTTTAAAACGCTCCTTGAGGTTCTTACTTGAGCCTACTTAATTCTTTCTTAAGAATTAAGAATTAGCCATATCCAAATTAGTAACAAAGTAGATGGTAAAATCCTTGGTATTCTCAATGATGTATTTCTGAATTTCCAGGGCCACATTTAAAATATAGCTGAAAATCATAATGACGTGATATAGCAATGAAAATAATTTTGAGGCAATGGAGCGACTTGAACTCGCGACCTGGTGAAATATAGCTGAAAAGGTTTCTAAAACTGTTGGCATTCTTTCTAAAATCAGATATTATGTACCTCGTGCTGCCCTGGTAACACTTAGTTACTCACATTTATCCTTATCTCAATTATAATATCTGTGCTTGGGGTACGACTACAGAAAATCATCTACGACCTCAAATTACGAAACACAAATCCGCTATTTAGAACAATAACAAACTCAAGCCCCAGACAGCCCTTGGCCCCCACTACTTAAATCTTTGAATATATTAGATATTAAGTCACTGTATATCCTTTTAAGTGTATTCTATATATATAAAACTGAACTATAATGCTAATCCTGACCTTAAACGCTTCCTAGAGGGTTGTAACAAAACCATGGGAACCACACTAGAAGGGAAGGGTAACTATCAAGGGAAAGCGCCAAGCCATTACGATTATATATCACTTGGAAGAAATCAGGATAAGGATTTGGGATGGGACGGGAGGAAGGAATGGTGCCCAACAACTTGGACGGTCGGGGATTGAACGCCGACCTGCACGAAACGAGACCGTCGCTCTACCGTCCAGCCCAAGTGGTTGGTAACCACACTAGAAACAAATGTCTGTTTGATATTCTAAGAATGCGACTTAACCAAAGTAGAAATGCTCTGTAAATCAAGGATCACAAACTGTGGCCCAAATTGCTATCTGCTGTTCTGTTGCAATTTCTGCTGTTCCATTCAATGTGTAATTATTGTCATTATTTTTTCTACGTCAGTTTAATTCATGCTTTTGATCTCAGTTAATTTTAATTCTTAGTTTTTAAGTGTTTTTTTCCACATTATGTCCAAAACGCTGTGCGTATTAGTAACTTTAGGCATAGTATCGGAGGCCAACATGAGATGGAGACCACATGAAATGGACTTCGAGTAGTATCTTGGTTATTTGGTTATCTTTGTTGGAATCGATTAGAAAGGTAGTGTGTGTTATCGTGTGTAGCCGGGAATGGGTCTTCAGATGAGCAACGAGATGCTGAACACCCGTTTAATAACTGAGAACTTTAGTCATAAGAGTTTTGTTAATTTATTTTAAGAGTCATTACCAGCGCTGCTAGAGGTGTGTGAATAGTGCAGGTATGAACTCTTGCTCTATGTGAGCACTAACCAGTCATCTTGCATTTGCTCAGCATTGCAGCTTCTAGTTGATTGGCAGGTAATGGCGACGGTCATTGCAGCTCTCGTCCACGTGGACATTGGGGCTATGATTGGCTTCCCTGCAGTGTCTCTACCACAACTCATGGACCAAACTTCCGGCGACCTCGTACTGAGCACCTCACAGTCAGCCCTCTTTGGTAGGTTCCTTCCAAGTTAATCATGCCTTTAGTCGGCTGCTCTGATCGCTTTCAGCAGTTCTGCTTCCTTTCATTTCTACCCCCATGCACCAGACAAACATCAACTGACACCAATCTCATTAATATTCTACGCAAATAGGGCTCCCTCCATTCCCTAGGCCTCTTTCCAGCAATCAATAACTACTCCAAAACTACCACAGACAATCTCACACCTTCCTTCCCTAAGACCTCGAACTCCAACAACTACAGAATCACAAAGGGATATAAAATAAATAATGCAAGTCTCGTATATAATGCACAGATGAGGATGGAATTTCCACTAGAGTGAAATTTAGGAAAAACTTGAAAAGTCAATCCTGGCGTTGGACAATAAGATTATCAAAGAAGTATGTCAGCACATAACTAAGAAAGTCTCTAAAACGGTTGGTATACTCTCTAAAATCAGATATTATGTACCTAACTCTGCTCTCCTCTCACTATACTACGCACTAATCTAACCCTATCTTACTTATGGCATTTATGCATGGGGTTCAACCACTGCAAACCACCGTTTCCAGAAATGTGAGCAGCTTAGTAAGACAGGATCTATTTGTAACAAACCCATGTTTCATTGTTTATAAAGATTGTTCTCTGTGAGATGTTGTATGATTCCTTCCCTTAGGATTCTCTCCATGAGCTTGCAGATGTGTGAAGTCAAGCTGATCGGACGATAGTTGTCTGCCGAGCTCTTTCTGCCTTTTTTGAAAATAGGGGTAACATTTACATATTTCCATTCTAGGGGAACTATCCCTTGGTCCAGGGATTTTCTGAAAAGGAGTTTCAGTGGCATGCATAGTGCATTTGCCAGTTCCTTTTAAGACTTTGGATCGAAATCCATCCACACCTGAGGCTTTTGAGTCTTTTAGTTTGTCAATGCTCTTCCTGATTGTGTCGCGTGTAATGGGTATATCCCTTAATTCATTCTCTTCACCTCCTTCAAATATTAGTGTGGGTGATGGGTTGTCGTTCAATCTTTCTAGTGTCATTCAGAGTGTTTGCTGCCCTTTTATCATCCAATATAACTTGGTTAGGTTCATCTTTTAGGGGTCCTGCAGAGTTCTTTGTTTTGGTTTTACTTCGTATATGCATAGAATGATTTTGGATCATTTTTTTTGTTTTGAGCACGTTTTCTTTCATAGTTTATTTTGGCTAATCTGATTTCCTGGGTAGCTGAATTTAATACCCTTTTATATGTCTCATAATCCATGATGTTCATCGTGGATTTATACCGTCTCCAGAGGTTTCGTTTAGTTATTATCGCTCTTTTTACTACTTGTGTCATCCATCTTGTTCCCTTAAGTAATTAGAGGTGTAGATAATTTTGAGTAGTAGATCCCCTGGCACAATAACCCATCTACTCACAGGCAGACCGGCTTTATCAGTTAGTGTTTTAAATATTATAATTAAAAAAAATTGAATTGCAATACGTATATTTAAGGAAACTTTTTATTCCGTTGATTTCAGGAAGCATGATGTTCTTGGGCGCCATGTTGGGGTCCTCCATTGTTGGTTTGCCTATGGTGCGTTTGGGCCAGCGAGTGACGCTCCTGTTGGCTCTACCCTTATCACTGACCAACTGGTTCGTCTTAGCCACCGCACCCACGGCCTGGCTCATCTTGGCCTCCCGCTTCACTCAGGGCATCGTCTTCAGCTTCCTGGCAAATGCTTCCATAACCTACGTAGCAGAGCTTGCCCACAGCACACTGCGAGGGAGCCTGTCCTCCATTCTAGACCTTTCTCGTCAGATTGGCATTCTTCTGGTATATGCTATAGGCAGCTCAAGTCTAAATTGGCGAAAAGTGGCAATGACGTGTGGAGTTTTAAACACTGTTATTCCATTTATTGGACTGTTGAAATTACCAAGCTCACCACGGTGGTTAGCCACGCGAGGATATAATGACAGAGCTCTCAAATCCTTAGTCTTCTTCCGGGGCTCAAGCTACGATGTTCACAGCGAGATGATGGGCATTACAGAGCAGCTCGGTACAACGTCATCTGATAGAAGAACTATATTAGATCAGCTTCGAGAGCTTCGAAAGCCATCGATACTTAGATATATTATCATCATGTCATTTGTTTTGTATTTTTATCACTTCAGTGGCACAATGGTTATTCCTACATACATCGTGGTTATTGTAAACATTGCAAAAGTTAATATAAGCTCGTATTTGTGTGCCGTTGTTACAGGTATTGTTCGAGTCATAGGAACGTCGGTCTTTATTTGCGTCATAGATAAGATTGACCGCAAACCTTTATTCGCAATTTCTTTTGTTCTGTGCAGCTTGTGTTTGATTGGAGTGGGCGTTTTCTTCTTTGATCAGGTTCACGGCCAACACCTCAAAGACCACACCTGGTTACCAATCACTTGCCTCGCAGTCTATTCATTTTTCTCTGTATCTCCAATTGTCACCGTTCTTCAAAGTGAACTTTTTCCGAGTTCTGTTCGTTCTGTCGTTGTTCCACTTTTATTTATAATATTCTTCATTGGGGCATTTACCACTGTAGAGGCGTATCCTTACCTCGTGGAAGCGTTGGGGATCTATGGGGCGTTTTGGATCTCTTCTGGTTGCATCATTCTTCTGGTTGTTATTGTTGTCACTACTATTCCCGAGACTCGAGGCAAAACTCTGGAGGAAATAACAGAGTTTCAGACTCTGAGAAGTGCGTCCGGACACAGGTGTTTGAAGGGCTAGGATTATGTGAATCCACTACATAAAATTCATGGACAATTTCTTTTGTATTATAGCATACTTTTGCTGACACCTTACCTTTACCTTAACCGGTAAATTATTGTAGGCACATGATTTCTCACAGGGTTTTATACTTAATTGCTAAGAATCTGCCCAATCTGAAGACAATGTTAACACTGCAGCACCAGTGTCCAATTCCTAGGGAACTAGTTTACAATTAATTACAAAATTCACCACTTCTGAGTTCACAGAACATACCTTTTCTTTCATCGAATATAGTATGCTTTAAGTTTCCTCACCTGCAGCTTCTTCCAACGTTTTACTTTCCTCCACTGACTTGACCACTGTACCTTTACCTCTTCTTCCTGCATTCCCAGGTCGTATCCTCTCCAAGGCCTTGCTATTTGTTTGTTTATTTATTTATATATTTTTATACAAGAAGGTACATTGGGTTTGTGAGGATACATCGCATAGTATTCACAATCTTGTAAAGCCACTAGTACGCGATGCGTTTCGGGCAGGTCCTTAATCTAATAGATAATTTTAAGTAGGTAAATTCTAGCAGAATTAATAAAATGTTAACAGATACATTGCAAGAAAAAAATGAGATGAGAGAGATTAGTAGGTATATTAAAGCACATTGGTAGCTCTGATTGATTGCATTGACAGCTTGATTGGTAATTTAAACAAAGATTAACAGGCACCATACAGCAAATTGATAGCACATATAAGAAGACAGCAATGATCACAATGATAAAGTTGTTTGGATTAGGTACATAAAGATTGGGAGATTGGGTAGCACTAGATACAGTGCAATTTTAACGCAACAAGGTAGGAAACTATGAAGATGAAATTAGGTACTTTTTAGTTTTGTTTTTGAATGAGGGAAAAGTTTGACAACTTTTCAATTCATTAGGGAGTGAGTTCCACAGACTAGGTCCCTTTATTTGCATAGAGTGTTTACACAGATTAAGTTTGACTGTGGATATCAAAGATATATTTATTTGGTGTGGTGATAATGGGTCCTATTACATCTGTCCAGGGAGAGTTTCAGAGCAGGATTTGCATTTAAGAACAGGGTTTTGTAAATGTAGTTGACACAAGAGAATGTGTGGAGTGAGTTTATGTTTAGCATGTTTAGGGAGTTAAACAAGGGGGCTGAGTGTTGTCTGAACGCAGAATTTGTTATTATTCTGATAGCAGATTTTTGCTGGGTGATGATGGACTTGAGGTGGTTTGCAGTGGTTGAACCCCATGCACAGATACCATAATTAAGATAGGGATAGATTAGTGCATAATATAGTTAGATGAGAGCAGAGTTAGGTATATAATATCTGATTTTGGAGAGTATACCAACTGTTTTAGAGACTTTCTTAGTTATATGTTGTATGTGGGAGTCTTTTGTCTAGGAATGGGCCAAGAAACTTTCCATCATTTTTATTACTAATGTTAACATTGTCTATTTGAAGCTGAATTGCATTCATTGATTTGCTTCCAAATAAGATGTAGTAGGTCTTTTCTATGTTAAGTGTTAGTTTGTTGGTTGACATCCATAAATGGACTTTTTTTTAGTTCATTATTAACAACATTATTTAGTGTGTGTTTCAAGTATTCTCTCTGCACTTTCCTCAAGTGCACTTTCTTGTCACAAAAGTTGTGTATGTAGTCCTTAAACTTGCAGTTGCCACTACTGAGATTGTACCCACAATGTTTACATCTCGTCTGGCCCTGTACGACCATAATTTCTTAGGTAGTAGATTTCTTACCTCCAAAAACCCTTTCTAAGTTAAAAATCTTCTCTAAAACTGTCCATGAGGCCATCGATTGGCCATTCAAGATTGTTCATGCTGAGATGGCGAAAGATTCCCTTCCTTAGGATTCTCTCCATGAGTTTGTAGATGTGATGTCAAGCTGATGGGACGGTAGTTTTCTGCTGAGTTCTTTCTGCTTTTTTTTTTTTTAAATAGGGATGACAATTTCATATTTCCAATCTAAGGGGACTATCCCTTGGTTCGGAGATTTTCGGAAAAGCAGTTTCAGTGGTAGGCATAGTTACTCTGCTTGTTCCTTTATGACTATTGAATTTCATCCACATCTGGGGCTTATTACTTAATTTCTTCAAACAGGAAAAGGTGAAGCATCATACACTTTACAAACCACTCAATGAAACTCAATGAAAGTTGCACAGCAGGTAGGGTGCAGGAGCAAAAAAAAAAATCTAACCACACACTTGGAATAATCAAGCGTACTTTTGACTTTAAGGAAAAGAAGGTAGTGATACAATTGTATAAATCTCTGGTGCGCCCCCATTTGGATTACTGTATCCAAGCATGGAGACCACATCTTCAGAAGGTCATAGCTGCTCTGGAGAATGTGCAACACGGGGCAACAAAATTTATTCCCAAGCTAAGGCAACTCACGTATCGGGAACGGTTGAGAGCCACAGGACTAACAACACTGCAAAACAGGCATGACAGAGCAGATTTATTTATTTATTTATTTATTTATTTATTTATTTATTTATTTATTTATTTACAAGAAGGTACATTGAGTTTATGAGAGTACATAGCATTGATGTTTTTACATTCTTGTAAAGCTGCTATACACGCATAGCGTTTCGGGCAGGTCCTTAATCTAACAGATAATTTTAAGTAGGTAACTAGCAATTTTGAGAAATGTTAACAGGAACATTGTAAGAAAATTTGACGGAGATTAGTAGGTACATTATAGTAAAATTTGAGGATTATCAACAGGTACATTGTAGCATAATTCGAGGATTATTTCTGGGTATAATGTAGTAAAATATGCGTTCAATATAACAACCATGATATAAGATGATAGCATTGATTACAGTGGTAAGGTATATATATTGGGGAGGAGGGGTGGGGGGTAACACAAGATACAGTGCGAGTTTAGGGCACTACGTAGGAAAACTATGAGGATGAATTTAGGTACTTTTTGGTTTTATTTTTAAATACAGCGTAAGTTGGACTGCTTTTCAATTCGTTAGGGAGTAAGTTCTGTAGCGAGTAAACAGCGAGTTCTGAACAGTGAGTTCTGTAGCGAGTGAGTTCTGTATTCGCTCCATTCTCTCATTAGTTTATTGGCAACTCTCATTAGTACTAATGATGAACTCAAATCTTTTCCCCTAATTACAGTTAACATTCCTTCCATCCTTCCAACCTATTGGAGGACGGTGAGATGCAGTCCAATCATATAAGAAATCGAGAAATGAGTAACCACCTTTACGGGGTATTCATGCCCGTGCCACCTTTTGAGTGGCTTGTACAGGTTCAACCTACCCCAAGACGCTACAACTTTGACACAGCAGACAGTAGACTACGACCGTGTCGAGCTACCACCCTCTCATTCCCCATCGAGCTTCCATGCTCTCGGCCTCATCAAGTTTAGACACGCTATTCCACATCGAGCCGCCACACTCTCCCGCATAGAGCTCCACAACTCCGGCCACATTCACCTCGCTACTCTGCTCCAAGTTTCGTCTCTACGTCAATGACACTGCCAACAACCGACTGCTGTAACCGAGACTACTAAATAAATATCATAACCCACTAAACACTGTTTATCTAATCTACCTTACAACGTAATATAATCGTACGTTACAGTTCAATAGACTAGGACCCTTTAATGGCATAGTGTTTACACAGATTTAGTTTGACTCGGGGAATATCTCATTGAAACTTAAAATATTGAAGAATTTGGAGGATGTTGATCCAGAAATGTTCTTCAAAAGGTCAGATATAACGCAAAGGAGCTCAAAAAAGGAGCAACGGCTTCAAGCTCAATGAGCCACAATGTAGGACTGAGAACATGCTTTTTCACCAACAAAGTTATAAACCCATGGAACAGCCTACCCACCGATGCCTTATTGTCAAAACTCTGTAAACTTTTTAAGTACAGCTGGAAAAGATCCAGGCAAATGGGGGGGGATGGGGTACCTTCGACAAGTGCTGTCCTTGTTGAGGCCACTAGTGTTAGTGGCACTGAGGTAAAGTTTAGTTTGGTTTAGTTCATTTATTAAACACCTCATACCCATCTTGTGGGCGGTAGTAGAAAGGGTTACAGAGGAACATAATGGGCCCAGGAAGTGAACCCCCCACAATTCATTTAGCTAAGCAAGTTATTCAATTTCTTTCCTTATTATGCACCCCATACCCATCCCGTGGGCGGTGGTGTAAAGGATTACAGAGGCACATAATCGGTTCAGGAACTGAACCCTCTATAGAGGGTTCAGTTCAGTTGATCACCCACACAAATACACACATCAATAATCTTTTGTGTCACAAGTGATTCAACAAGAGGCTCACAACAGTCACTATACAAGGCACTTTACATCTATAGTGAGTCACACAGTTACTAGTCTTGCTGCACACCCACCCAACTGGGCGGCAGCTTTACAGTCATGTGCATGCATTACCTACTGTAAGCAAATTTTGGATACTTCGCTAAGATTTCGGGCAGCACATCTTTATGAATGAAGTACTTACACATTTCTTGGACACTATTGATGGTGTTATCTCTAAATTCCGCGATTTTTTTCACATTCCATTATATAATGACGCAAAGTATGCGAATAGTTCTGCTGACAGAGTTTACATTTAGTCAAATCTACATCAGCAGATGTTACAAATTCCCAGAGGTACTTGTAACCGAGCCTAAACCTAGCAGTGGTAACATCTAGAAGTCTGCTAACATTATTGGATGACCCATAGTCGTGCGGTTCTTCCTGCATAAAAGAATGATGATAGATGGAGTTACTGGTGTGAATATTACTTTGCCTCAAGTCTAAGCAAGTTACAATTAAACTATGTCACTCACCCATCAAAGAAAACGTGAACGGTGCGTACAGCCACACCTGACCGAAAATGCAGGCGATGAACAGTGTTGCCAGATTGGGCTACAAATAGCGAATTGGGCTATTTTTGAGAGCTTCGCGCTCCCAAATTTTTAATTTCGCTACTTGCTACTTTTTTGGACTAATTTAAAAGCAAGGCGTGCTAATTTGGGCTATTAAAGTTAAGAATGTACGATTGCGAGTTACATGAAAGTAACTAAGCTATAAATAATTGTAATTAATAATAATTGTAAATATTAATTAATACTAAATAATATTATTTAATAAATTAGTCCCAATTTAACGCAGAGTTTTCTTCCAAGCACAGAAACTTGTAAATATAAATACAAGATAATAGATAGATCGATAAATAAATAGACAACTTTCAAATATTGCACCAAGTAATGGCGAGAGGAAAAAAACTAGACAGTATACATTACTTTTTTTAATTAATAATGGATGAATGGTAATAAATTGGTGTATGTTTGTATGTATACCAGACAAAGTCCATTTAATGGCAGAATTTAGCCATTTTGTGTAAAAGCTTTTATATCATATTATTAATTATAACAGTAATCGAAAAAAGTCATAGTTTGTATATACAAGAGATGAAACAGAGAGCCATGAGCTGGAGCGATGTGCTGAGTCCATAAGGA